ATGATTGGAATTATTAAATTTGGAAGAAATAAATTTTTATTTTCGTTTTTACCAAATTTTTATTGTCTGATGGCGTACGGGTGGACCTGCTACTACTTAAAAATTAAAATAAAATTCTCTAATCTTCAGGATTAAGTAGGGCTCAGTCCCTACTAGAACTCTGTCGATTTTCAGATGATTGGAATTATTAAATTTGGAAGAAATAAATTTTTATTTTCGTTTTTACCAAATTTTTATTGTCTGATGGCGTACGGGTGGACCTGCTACTACTTAAAAATTAAAATAAAATTCTCTAATCTTCAGGATTGGGTAGGGCTCAGTCCCTACTAGAACTCTGGTAACTTTCAGATGATTAGAATTATTAAATTTGGAAGAAATAAATTTTTATTTTCGTTTTTACCAAATTTTTATTGTCGGATGGCGTACGGGTGGACCTGCTACTACTTAAAAATTGAAATAAAATTTTCTATTCTTTAGGATTGTCAAGGGCTAAGTCCCTACTAGAACTCTGGTAACTTTTAGATGATTAGAATTATTAAATTTGGAAGAAATAAATTTTTATTTTCGTTTTTACCAAATTTTTATTGTCTGATGGCGTTCGGGTGAGGGTGCTACAACTTAAAAATTGAAATAAAATTCTCTAATCTTCAGGATTAAGTAGGGCTCAGTCCCTACTAGAACTCTGTCGATTTTCAGATGATTGGAATTATTAAATTTGTAAGAAATAAATTTTTAATTTCGTTTTTACCAAATTTTTATTGTCTGATGGCGTTCGGGTGAGGGTGCTACTACTTAAAAATTGAAATAAAATTCCCTAATCTTCAGGATTAAGTAGGGCTCAGTCCCTACTAGAACTCTGGTGATTTTCAGATGATTAGAATTATTAAATTTGGAAGAAATAAATTTTTATTTTCGTTTTTACCAAATTTTTATTGTCGGATGGCGTACGGGTGGACCTGCTACTACTTAAAAATTGAAATAAAATTCTCTAATCTTCAGGATTAAGTAGGGCTCAGTCCCTACTAGAACTCTGGTGATTTTTAGATGATTAGAATTATTAAATTTGGAAGAAATAAATTTTTATTTTCGTTTTTACCAAATTTTTATTGTCTGATGGCGTACGGGTGGACATGCTACTACTTAAAAATTAAAATAAAATTCTCTAATCTTTAGGATTGGGTAGGGCTCAGTCCCTACTAGAACTCTGGTGATTTTTAGATGATTAGAATTATTAAATTTGGAAGAAATAAATTTTTATTTTCGTTTTTACCAAATTTTTATTGTCTGATGGCGTTCGGGTGAGGGTGCTACTACTTAAAAATTAAAATAAAATTCTCTAATCTTCAGGATTAAGTAGGGCTCAGTCCCTGCTAGAACTCTGGTAACTTTCAGATGATTAGAATTATTAAATTTGGAAGAAATAAATTTTTATTTTCGTTTTTACCAAATTTTTATTGTCGGATGGCGTACGGGTGGACCTGCTACTACTTAAAAATTGAAATAAAATTCTCTAATCTTTAGGATTGGGTAGGGCTCAGTCCCTGCTAGAACTCTGGTAACTTTCAGATGATTAGAATTATTAAATTTGGAAGAAATAAATATTTATTTTCGTTTTTACCAAATTTCGATTGTCTGATAGCGTTCGGGTGAGGGTGCTACTACTTAAAAATTATTTTAAAGTGTTAAGATAAAATTTCAAAAAATACAAAATTTCAATTTTTTGTGAAAAATTAAAATATTTATTAATTCTATAAATTTTGATAAAATATATACTTTATATACATGAATCGATTCGTTTTTATGTCAGGAATGCAATTTTGACAAGAATTAATACAAATTTTAATATAGAACAAAGTTATTTAAAAAAATCCAAAAATTAATTTTTTCAAAAATTAAAAAATTGTTGAAATTTTTTTTTTTTTTACATATTTTTGAAAATCCTTCTGTCTGATTTTTGGTATTCGTGACCGTAATACACCTACAAAATTTTATCAAAATCCGTCAAGACGTGTAAGAGAAAATTTGTCCACAAGAAATAAGAATCGGTGACATACACACACACACACACACACATACATACACACATACATCCGGACATTTGTTCCTCTCGACGAATTATATATACTACACTTGAAAATTTGTAAAAATAATTGATTTTAAAAAATTCGGAAATCGACATCACTATAAGGCTTCCTTTATGAGGAAGCAATAGTAATAATAATAGTAATAATAATTATAATAAAGTTAGTAACAAAGATTGTTATTTACATATTATTATAAATAGTAACCATAAATAATAAAAATAACCACGTCCGAACGAACAACGTTCACATGTCCTTGGATATCATAGACGTCGCATCAATGCATCGGCAATGCTATAGCGTCTATGTAACTAACGGAGGCGGTTCGAGGGTCCATCTTGGCCAGATGGTAGTACCCTGTTAAGGCCCGATAGTCTCTCGATACGGGACAAACATCAAGTATGAGCGATTGTAAAAACATGGAAGAGTACCTGGGGAGTAATGCTTCGGCTAAATCCCTCACTGGTTCCGATCGTCAAGCGCCTGGCGTGGGGACGATGGCCAGTGACCCAAGGATGCAGGAGGGCAACAACGCATTGGTGGTACCAAGAATTGTCTTGGAAAAAGTAAATAGACGAGGAAGTACGAGCAGCGTTACAAGTCAAGCCAGCTGCATTTCTGTCTTCAGTAATGCTTCGGCTAATGACATTGCTTGCTGCAATAAAGACCGAGAGCAAGCTATAAGGCTGCGCGAGGAGGAAGCAGCTTTCATTCAAAGAATGGAGGGAGAGGCCAGTAAGATGCTGAAGTCCTGTGATGTCCAGAAAAATGTAAATATGACGATTAAGGACGGACTGAAAAGCATAACAACACTCATACAGGAGATTAAGGAAAAGCACGCAGCTGAAAAAAAGTAGATGAGAGGTTCTACCAACAATTAGTGTGGTCAGAGGAATCAAGACAAGATCGAAGAGTTAGACGCGACCGTTTAAACGCTGTAGTGTTAAGAAATGTCGTCTTGGAAGGTCAGAAGCGGAAGAGGAACAGTCCTGAGTTGAATAAAAACTCAAAGAAAACGAAGAATGAAGGACCTCGAAAAAAGCCGAAAGACAAAACACAGAAAGAAGGAAGGCCACAAAAGAGGTCATCAATGATCGTTAAGGTGGCTGAATATTCGATGTTCGCAGCAGTTCTGGGGAAGATTCGTAAGGAGGTGAACCCAGAAAAAAGCAATACAATTTGTATGGAAGCTGTACCCACCAAGAAGGGGGACCACTTTATCAAAATTAGAGGTTCTTCTGATAAGGAGACTTTTACCAATAAGGTGACTAGGGTGATTGGTGAAATGGGTAAGGTGCAGATTGTGGATCGGACAACTACTTTGGTGATCTACGATCTGGATTGCCTTACAGAGCCAACAGATGTCCAGGAGGCCCTGGATAGAGTTTCGGCAATGCCAGTAGGAAGAAGGATAACTGTCCTGGGACCTAACAAGCGAGGTGTAAAGCTCGCTATTGTAGCAACCACACAGAAAGATGCAGAGAATCTGGAACGTCTCGGCCACATAAGGGTAGGCTTTTTGTCTTGTCCAGTGAGGAAAAGAGTTATGGTCACAAGGTGTCATAGGTGCCTTGGCTATGGCCATATAGGCGAAGAAAATAGGGAGAACCGTGATAGAAGGGCCATGTTTGCGGCAGTTGGCTTTGAAATCAACGTCGATAACATGGTGTCTATCATGGTTCAAAACCTGGACTCGTGTAGACATATTTAATCCTTAATTATTAAAATAATGGGGAAAAGATAGAGACGGAAGACGAGGTTGACCGGAAGAATCCAGTGCTCAGGAGTGTGTGAGCGTGGGGGGAGGAAAACATTTAGCTTTTCCTCCCGTCCTTGCTTACACATTGCATGACCAGATTAATGGCAAGTTAAGGAGCAGGACAAGGGAACCACCACTTGTGAAGTTTAAAGCCTGACGGTAGTGCCGCAGGTGGATCAAAGTGTCCCAAATTAAGACGGGAGTGGTTTTTAGTGGGTCGACCAGAACAAGAGCGGTCATCCCTACATAACCTGGGTTTATCTAACCAGGTATCTGAATTTACAGATTTTCCACTTCCGACTACAAAAAAAAACTATAAATAATAAATTGTAATAATAAACAAATAACAATAATAAATTGTAATAATAAATATTAACAAATAATAACCACTATTAGACTCAGTATTAGAAAGTTCGTGTTCATTCCATCTTTGCATTATTTTGATCTTATTTGTTCAAATAAGGTTATTTATTAATTATTTACCAAACCTCGTCCCTATTTTAATTATTATTAATTAAAATTAAATCGGGAAACATTAGGGAATATAATCATTAAGTTCGTAACATTACTCTTTCTTAAAGCCTGTCCCTTAATATCAGAACCTTCTACTTTGTGAATAAATCAGGTTTGAATTACCGATGCCAGACAATTTAAATATTTAAATTTCGGTTGTGTTTAGTTTCACTCTGAGACATAACAGTAGCCAAGTTCAAAATGTGCGCGTAGCATCTAAAGTGTTGATTTTCGCTGTCAAAAATTAATCCAAAAAGATAGTTCCATCATAAACAAAGTGTTGGCTGATACGTTATCAACCGTCATTCCTTGTATTTTGTTTTCTAAAGCATAATTTTTTATTACATCGTAGAAAGCAGAGGCAGTGTCTTTATCAGTATGGTTTTCATTTGTAGGTCAAAAGCCAATTAGAGGGGAATTCATACTCTACTTGTCATCTATGAAATGATCCTAATGGATCTTAATGCAATGATAAGAGCGATTAGCTACAGAATTCCAACTATCAAGAGTAAACGAAGGCAAAATGGTAAAATTCTACTCAGGCAAAATGACATGTCATTTAACCCCGTCTTTCTTTTTTCAAAACAGGGTGAACCTAAAATTTTTTTCGGCTTAATAATAATTAGGATGTTGTATTAAAAACTCACCAGTGCCATACTACTTAACAGGATCATTGTAATGACGGCAGTTTCAAAATATTTGTTTTCGATGAGCTGGAAGGTTTTAAGTCTCAAATTGCCCCAACCTTGCCAAAATGGCGCGTCTTCATCACCGGCCAAAAATGGAAATTTCTTGTACCATTTCTCGGGAAGACAATCCGCTGGATAATCGTCAATTATCTCCTCGTTCGCTTGTATTATTCTCGGCACTTCCTCCTCCTCCTCCTCCTCCTCCTCACCCTCTTCGCCTTCGTCGTCCAAGTCTGAATGGAAAATTTATTAAATAAATAAATTTCTAAATTAATCAAAAGAAAGTGGAGGAAAATTAACAAACTCACCTTCTTCCTCAAGATCTTCTTTACTGACATCCTTTTTCTCTTCACCATCCAACGAATCCAAACTCCCTTTATGACTCTCGTTTTTAAACGATCTGTTCTGATGACTCCCGTACGATTTGTTGCTGTTTAAATTATAAACAAATTGTTTAATTAAAAGTTCTTAATTCAAGAAAAATAAAATAATAGTATGGGCACTTCATTTATGAATTAAATGATTAAATTTCACAAAAAATTTCGAATTATAACGTAAACTTTTCGAGAGAGAAGCTGGAAAAAATTTACCAGCTGTCGATAAGGTAGAAATCTGACTTATTTTTGTAAATTCCAGAAGAATAGTAGAGGCATTTTATTTGTAAATTAAATATGCGATCACCATAAAAGTATAGAAATTACAACCAGTAGTTTTCCAGAGAGAAGGTGGAAAACCATACTGTCGGTAAGGTAGAAATCTAAATAAATTTTGTATTTAAATTATAGAAGAATAGTAGCGGCATTTGATTTGTAAATTATATATGCGATCGCCATAAAAGTATAGAAATTACAACCAGTAGTTTTCCAGAGAGAAGGTGGAAAACCATGCTGTCGGTAAGGTAGAAATCTGACTAAATTTTGTATTTAAATTATAGAAGAATATTATTCTAGAAAAAATAATAGAGGCATTTAGTTTAGTCATTGAATAATTTTAATGATTAGGTTCGAATTAAAATAGATAATGAGTTCAGTTTAGAGATAAATTACACGAATGCCTTTAAAGCTTAGAATTTTTGGATAAAAAAGTGGACAAAACAATGTCGGTAATGTCGAAACCTGACAAACTTTTGCATTCAAATGCATAAAGAACAGTGCAGGCATCTACTTTAGTTGTTGAATAACCGAATACTAGAAAAATATTTGAATTATCGATTAGAGTTTTTGAGTAAAAAGGTCGACAAAAGAGGTCGTCTGTCGATAAGGTAGAAATCTGACAAACTTTCGAACTCAAATGCATAAAAAAGACAGTAGAGGCATCTACTTTAATTATTAAATAAGCGAATACCAGAAAAATATTTGAATTACCATTCAGAATTTTTGAGTAAAATGGTCGACAAAAGATCTGTCGATAAGGTAGAAACCTAACTTAAAATTTCGTACTTGAATTTTAATTATTAGGCATTTAGTTTAAATGTTGAACAAGCGACTGGAACTAAAGAGTAAAAATGTCATGGTTTTGCGAAAAAAGAACGATAGTTCTCTATCGGTAAAGCAGATTTCTTACAAAAAAATCTACAATTTGTAAAAAAATACTTGTGCATCTTACTTTCCTACTAAAAATATTTAATTACCAATAAAAAAATGTTATGTGCCACGTATATTTCTTCATTAAAGACAAAGAACAGGATGTCGGTAATTCAGATCTGTAATTCTATTTTTCAAAAATTTATAATTTAATTTAAAAAGAAATATCTGTGGCACTTAATTTACAGTTGCAGTAAACAAATACTGTCGAAATTTCAAAAATATCTTTTATAATTTTCAAGAAAAGTGACTGAAATAAATTCTTGCATATGTCGATAATGTAGAAATCTGTCTTAAACTTTTCGGTTTAAATCAAAGAGATGAGCAATTTTAGCTTTTTTTAACGTTAAAAAGATAATAAAAAATAAAAAATATAATAAATATAGGAAAAAACAATTAAAACAAAATTTTAGGTTTATGAAAAATGATAATAAATACCTGATGGTATCATCCTCATTATGATTGATGTAGTCATGATCTAATCGAAAATCCCGATGATTCAAGGAATTCACAAGACCCTTTGTGTTGTTCAAACAGAGACTTCCCTTCTTCATTTTATTCTTCAGATCTCCTAACGTACAAAATTAAAAAATTAATTAATTGTAAACAAAAAAAAATTTTAAATCTTTTAAATTTTTTAAAAGGTTAAAAATTTTTTTTTTAATTTTAATTTAGAAAAATTTCAAACTAAAAAAATTAATTTCCAATTAAATTAAAATTACCATGAATCGTAAATTCCATTCCATCGCCAATTGCAACTTCAAATTGATTGTTAAGCTCCTTGACGCTTTTCTTATCGCGAAATACGTCCAAATCACCATCAGTTAGATCTAAATTGGCATCGTGATCGAGACCTTCTAGAACAATTTATGCATAAAAAGCTACGAATTCGTTGCAATTTATTTGCAAATAAATGCAAAAAAAAAATTATTATTTCTCTTTATAGAAATACCAAAAATTCTATTTTCTACTCGACTCGACCTAATAATATTAAGAAGAAGAATAACTTGTAATTGAAAAAAAATTAAAAACTATTTCTTTTTCAAAAGTCGTGCATCAAAAAAAAAATTCATTCGAATTTCAATATTCAATAATTTTAAGTCTGGAGCCATGCAGAACTTAAGCGGGGAGAAAGTATAATTATTTGTTATACATATTAGAACCGTAATTAGCGTCATTAATATTTAATTTATTAATTTTTTATTCTTTATCGAATTATTTTATTTTCATTTACTTTTGCTTTGAATTTTGTCTTCAGTTTTCTGATTTTTTTTAGTTAATTTTCTAAATTCTAAAAAAAGAAAAATTTCACTTACTTTTTTTAACTAAACAAACGAATGAAAAAATTCCTTTTTTTAAGTAGGAGTTTAAATCTTATTTTAATTGGTTCAAAATATTTATTTTTTCTTAAATGTTTTATTAAAAAAAAATAAAATAAAAAAAAATCTTTACTTTATTTCTTAAAAATTAAATATTTTTTCGATTTTGATCATTGGTGTAAAATTTCTCTTTTTAATGACGCTAATCCAAGTTCGAAACAGAAACAAGAATTATTTTCAAAATTGTAATATAAATTGTTCAAAAAAAATTACTAATAGTAAAAAATCTTTTGGGGAATAAGTTCTAATAAAAAAATAATTTTAAAAATTAGAAAAAATATATATAACATATTTCTATAATTATAGTAATTAATATAAAAAGTAAAAGAAAAAAAAATTGAAGGTAAGTACAGGCAATGTAGCCTATATCGCACAAGTCACTAAAACTGCCCTCCTACGAAGAAAGACACGCTAATTAATATAAATATTTTGGCAAAAAGTTGTCTCATGGAGTTTTTTTTTATTACTTTTATTAAAATTATTGCTTTTTTTAAAAAAACAGAAACAGATTTTTCACTTCCGACCATAAAAAAAAGTATAACATTATTATTTAATCAAATTATTTTTAATAGTTATTATTTACGAATGAATTTTAAAAAAATTAATAAATAACTGAATAAAATAAATCTTATTTTTATAAAAAAAAAATTTTTTATTTAGTTCAATTTTTTATTTTTCTTTAATTCAATAAAGAATTATTATTGACTGATTTCATTTATTAAAACTTTTTTACATTCTCATTTTTTTAAATATCTATCAAGAAGTTGGTTTCAAAAAAAAATATGAAAAAAAGACAACTTTTTGTTTCAACGACTCACAATGGACAGATAAATATTTTGCGAGTCTCATGCTAAATGCGATTTTCAGCCCTTGTAAGCCGCACGAGCGCCACGATTATTTAAAAAAAAGCAATCGTTCAAGAGAAAAAAAAATAAAAAAATAAATGCACTTTTAGGTTTTGTTTTTCATTATGTTTTTAAGGTTGGTTTTGGAGAAGGAGGAGGGAGAAAAATATTTTTTTTCAGCCAAAAAGTGTTGTGTCAATTTGTTTTAACAATTATAAAAAAAAAAAAAAAAAAAAAATGCTATAAAAGAAAAAGTAATTATGAAATTAATTAATTATATATATATATATTATTCTACATAATTATTGTAATAATTATAATTGTAATTGTCGAGAGCAATTGTAAATTGTAAATTTTTGAAAATTACTTTCACAGGGCTCGAACCACTAAAAATATTTAAAAACACGAACTTTACAAACCAAAAAATAAATTCAATTATTTCTAAAAATTCAAGCTATTATGCTTTTGATATTCAATTATTATTCAAAATTTTAACTAAAATTCATTTTAGAATTTTTAAAAATTTTTGAACGTAGTTCGAGCACTGCTTTGATAGTTAAATTTCTCAATCAGCAAAAAATTCTAACATTATAATTGTAATTATTATAAATTAATTATTAAATAAACCATTTTTATTACAATCATATTTATTGTCTGTTTGAATTTTTTTTCCTTTTCTATTTTTTTGTTTTTTTATTTTTTGTTTTTTTTCGTTTCATTTTTTCATTTTACTGTTTTAAAAATTTCTTTCCTGTTTGTCTCGTTTTATTATTTTACATTTTTCTGTTTTTAAGTTTTTCTCTTGCTTTGTCATTTATTAAAGATTCATTATTTTGTTAAAAAAAAAAAATTTAATGAATAAAAAATTAATAATCAAAATGTGTGTATGTCAAAAAAGTGGCAAAAATGAACTAAAGATAGTTAAGTTCCTTTCTTTTTTGTTTTTTCTTTTGCCACATTGCCTCCACTTACCTGGAATAAACAACGAGTAACTGCAAAAACTACAAATCAATGTTTCTTTTTTTTTATTAATTTCTATTAAAATTCGGCTATATCCATTTCAAATTCAACTTGTGAAAGCAGCTAGTCGGTGTCAACTGTTTAAAATATGAAAAAAATTATTTTATCGTGTTAATTAAAGCAAAAAACTTAGCGTTTAAGAAAAACTTTTGCGTATAATATAAACGGAAATCGTACCAGTCAAAATGAGAACAAAAATCGTACCTTTAGAAAAAAGAAAAATAAAAAAATTCATTAAAAAATTTTTAAAAATTAACTTTTTTTATATAAATATAAAAAAAATAAAAAAATTTTCCAAATGTAAAATTTTAAACGTTTAAATGTAAAATAATGTTACATTCATGAAATTATTATTTTATTTTCGAAAATTATCTAACAGAAAAAAATTCCACTTAAAGAAACTTAAAATTTCGTTTCTACTTTTTTACCCTAGGGAAAAAATGATAGCTCGTAACTTTCGAAGAAAAAGAAGTGGGGGAAGAGGAAAAAAGAGAGGGGATGGCAGACTATTATTTGTCCTGAGATAAAATGTATTTCTACCGAATTGTATTCATGGTTTCATACCGTGGGCTATTCTTTTGCAAATTAAAAAAAAAAAAAAAATTAAAAAAAAAAAAAATTAAAAAATAATACGATTGACTGGTACGAGACGAGGACGAACTGAAAAAAGTAAGACAGTGTCACGAACTACACAGCGCACACAGCAAGCGATCTGATTGGATATAAACCTTCTTTCCAACTGTTGGACGGTCCCTCACCTGGCGCCTGGTCGGATATTTGATTGGTGAGTTTGGCTCGCATCATCTTAAGAAGATTAAGAACACTTTGCTTGACCCAACCAATGAAACGTGCAATTCTATCAATGGCCTCGGCAATTTTATTCGTATCATTGTCCGCTGTTGGCGCTGATAGATTCGATGAACCAAAATTACTCAAAAGCAACGCCAAGAAGAGATTCAAAACCTATTTAAAAATTTTTTCTTTTCATTCCCTAATTTTATATTTAAAAACAAAAAATTAAGAGAAAAATGTTAAACTGAATTACATTTTTTAATTTAACAATTATTAATTAAATTAATTAATTTTAAATTGTTCTTAAAAATTTACATTTACATACAAAAATTTGCATTAAATTCAAAAATTTAGCGGAAAAAAATGAATTTCTTCTTTACCGACTGTTGGTAATCAAGTTCTCTACCTTATCAACAGTCGGTAAATTGTTCCTAAAGTAAAGACTCTTAAATTAATTAAATAAAAAATGAAATTAATTAAATGAAAAATTAAATTAAATTAATAATCAAATTAACAATATAAATACTCACTACTAAATTTCCAATGACGACAGTAGCCAGAAAGAATGGTATACAGGAGACATCGCCAACCAGCATACAATCCCACATTGATTCAATCCATTCGCCGCATAGTACACGAAAAACAATCATAAATGAATGCATAAAATCGGTGAAATTCCAACGTGGTAATTCACCGTCCGGAAATAGATGTACTTGGTCCGTGTAATTTTTACCAAATAATTGCATACCCATCACAGCGAAAATGAATATAATGATGCACAAGACAAACGTCAAGTTACCCAATGCACCCACAGTACGGCCCATAATTGATATCAATAAATTCAATGTTGGCCACGATTTTGCCAATTTGAACACTCTCAACTGTTTAGAAAAGGGAAATAAATAACAAATTAGAAAGAATATTTACAAAAAAAATAAAATATTTATTCTATACTCAATTTAGAATAAGGGAATCTCTAATTTACCGACTGTTTGGTAATTAAGTTTTCTACCTTACCGACGGTCGGTAATCTGAAGAATCTAATTCCTTACTGTCGTATTTCTACATCGTCAAACGTGCTGTCAATTTATAGTCATTTCTAAACGTAATTACGTAAATTTCTAATTAACCGACTGTTGGTAACTGAAGTTTTTAGATTACCAACAGTCGGTAATGTGAAGATTAACCGTTAACTCTACTATTTTATTTACAGTGTTTTTTTAGTGTTTTATTTTCAATTACAAATTCTGCGTAACTACAAATAAGTCGACAAAACACAGTCCCACGAAAACATATTTTTTTAAAAATTAAAAAGTTTTTTTTAAATTCGTTCGCCATATTGGATCCGCCATTTTGAATTTTGAAAAACTAACGTTGAATTCGTAATCAGCGACCCCAAAAAAAAACTAACATTGAATTCGTAATTAGCGACCTCGAAAATCACCAAGTAGTCATTCTCAATTACCTTAGTAAGTTTTATTTGATTTTCGATTTTGTAATTTTGTGGTTTTGCTACGAAACCGTCAGGCGTTAAAAGGTTAATTTAAAAAAATGTAATTTCCTACATTACCAACAGTCGGTAATCTTGATAATTTACCAAATATCTGTAGTCTAATGTTTGTAAATTATCAAAAGTCGGTAACTATAATGAAATCCATTATTGTCACTACAGACTTAATGGTGTTAAGTAATTCAATTTTTAATTTAACAATGGTCCGGCATTGAGTCTTCTACTTTGCCATCAGCCGGTATAACAATTTTTCACATTATTGTCAGTTGAAAACGTTACATTTCTCTTAAAATCATAAAAAAAATTCTAGTTTACCAACAGTCGGTAATCTAGAGATCGTCAATCAGAAAAATTGTTTTTTCACATCATTGCAAATTATAGTTATAAATTCGACCTTTTACTTAAATACCGTTGGTAATTGAGGTTTTCTACTTTACAATCAATCGGTAATGCAGTTTTTACATTACCCTCAGTCGGTAACAATACAATTTTAGTGGATAATATGGAATATTTATATTTTTCAAATAAGACTGTTTCTCTTAAAATTATAAAGAAAAATTCGTTTGGCATGATTAGTCATTGGCTTGGTGGCCAAAAGGCTAAATTGCCATTTTGCTAAACCACGCATAGCAAAACTGTTTTACCGACTGAGTGTTTCGAACCTAACCTCTTACTGTGTAAAATTTTAATTTAGCGAAATGGCAATTTAGTCTTTTGGCCACCAAGCATTGAGTTTTCTGCTTTACTGATGGTCGGTAATGCATTTTTCTACATTATCCTCAGTCGGTAATGTGGTTTTCTATGTTATCGTCAGTCGGTAATATTACCATTTTTAGAGGGTACTTATGAAATATTTATATTTTTCCCAAAAAACTGTTTTTTAAAAAAAATCATAAGAAGAAAAATAGCTTACCAATCTGAAAGATCGCAGGACCGATAATCCTTGAACACCTTCGAGCCCCAATTCCAATAAGGACAAGGCCACTATAATAAAATCGAAAATATTCCAACCCTCTTGAAAGTAAAATTTTGGACTCATCGCTATTAATTTCATTGTTGCTTCAATGCCAAACGTTGCAGTGAAGAACTGTAACATTGAGAAAAGGATGTTTGTGAAATAAAACAAAATTTGTAAAGAAAGATAACTTAATAGAAATTAAAATTAATAATATTAATTATATTAATATTAATTTATTAATATTAAGATAATTAATATTAATTTATTAATATTAAGATAATTAATAATTAGATTATAGGTAATATTAATTAGTTAATTAATTAATTAATATTAAGATAATTAATAAGTAATTAATTAATTAACTACCTAATCAGTATTATTATAATTAATTAACTAATTAATTAATTAATTAATTATTTATTAGAAGGCACAAAAAAAATCGATGAAGAAAAAACTTACGTAATTTCCGGATTTGAGGATTTTTTCCATTTTATTATCCATATCGTGATGATCCAATGCCATAAATAATGTATTGACGACAATGCAAAGTGTGATGAAAAGCTCGACGAACGGATCGAATACCAATAGGGCAATGAAGTCTTGTATCTTGACCCACATAGGACAACAGTTCCAAACGCAAAAGACATCGATACTCCTCAAAAAGTATTCTAATGCCTTTTCCTTAAATGTAATTCCCTCTTCGTCTTCGTCTGTAGGAAAGTAATATATCGACACTATACCAAATGTTAGTAAATTATTCCATATCCACCACTCTTTTTTGGGGAAAGAGTTTTTAAATTTCTTTCTAGAGAATTTTTTCAAAAAATTATTATTTCTTTTTGTTCTTTAATTTTTCTTTTTCTTTAATTTTTTTTTTAATAATTCTTTTTTTCAGGAATTTATTTAAAAATATTTTTTTAATCTACAATATTTCTTTTTTTTGTCTCTTTGTTTTTTAATTCTATCAATTTTTATTTTAAAGTGATAAAAAATATTTTTTACTTCAAATTTGTATTTTAAATTGTATAGAAAAAATGAGAAAAGTTTTTTGTTTTAGTTTCGATATTGTAGACAAAATATTTTTTTTTTTTTTTTTTTTTTTTTTTTTTTTTTTTTTTTTTTTTTTTTTTTTTTTTGCTTTTAAAGGGAGGTAATGATTACTTTTTACATTTATCTAGTCAAGAAAAAAGGCAAGTGCAACAAAATGAGCCAAAACAAAAATTATTCTATTTTCTATTATTTAATTTGGCTCACCACGAGTGCAAAAGGAGCAAAAGGGTCAAATATTGTGCTTTTGGCCTTCTATGTCAATGAAAAAAAAAATTTTTTTTAAAAGGCAGTAAATTAGAAAATTTTCGATTAATTTTTTTTTTTTTTTGAATCGATAAATAAAGCTCAAATGGTGTTCAAAGCACTCATCAATTATTTCGTGACTCAAATAAATTTATTACTACTAGAAGCTGACTATTAATAATTAGATCCGGACTAGCGTTTCATTGTCATAATTCATCATTGAATTTAATTATTAATTATTATAATAATTATAATTGTTAGTTATTATTATATTTATAAGAAATAAATATAATTTCTTTAATACGATTTTTGAACATTATAATTGTTCGAACTATTAATTCAATTGTATAATAACAAATTGTAACTTTTAATTGTAGTTAACAAAATTGTAATAACAAATAATTAATGAAGAAAGAACATAAAAATTGTATTAACAAATAACAATAAATTATAATAACAACAAAATTGTAATAACGAATAATAATAAATAACAATTAACTAATAACAACAAAATTGTAACAATAAATAGTTACAAATTGTAATTAATAAATAACAGAATTGTAATAAATAATAACAAATTGTAATTAATAAATAACAAAATTGTAATAAATAATAACAAATTTTTATTAACAAATAGAAAGATTGAAATAATAATTATTAACAGATTATAATTAACAAATAACAGAATTTTAAAATAAACAGTAACAAATTGTAATTAACAAATAACAACAAATAATAACAAATTATAATTAATAAATAAAAAGATTGCAATAATAAATAGTAACAAATTGTAATTAACAAATAACAAATTATAATTAACAAGTAACAGAATGTTAATAATAAATAGTAACAAATTGTAATTAACGCTAGCCCGGTCTGCTTTTTCTATTGTACTGTTAAAAAAATAATATTACAAAGCTTCATTAATATTTTTTTTCTTCTATAATAAACACAAAAATTAATTATAATTACTCTACAGAGGCCGTGCTCAAAAAAAAATTTATATACTTTTTTTCTCTTCTTTTTTTGCTATTTTTCTAAATAACTCTTTCCTATTTATATTATATTACTAATTCTTATTTGCTAAAGAAAAAAAAAATTATACATAACCACTATTTTTCTAAAAGCTACAAAATTGTGAAGCAAGAATAAAAATAAAATGCAACAACAAAAATTTGCCTAAAAAAATAATATTAACATGCATGTGAATCGTGAAATGACTGAGACGCAAATAAAAAAGCATTTAATGATTTTTAATTATAAACAAATAAAGAAAAAAAATTTTCAAATATGATAAAAAATTTGTGATTGAAAAATTTAAAAAAAAAAATTTATGAGAATAAAAGAGAAAAACGAGAAAAAAGTTTATATATTTAATTAATAAAACAATTATTTACTAAAATATTATTCGTATTATAATATTTATAATATATAATTATTAAATTATTAATTAATATTAATTATTAATAGAAAATTAAGTTAATAATATTTATTACCTATTTTTTTATTTATCCTCATAAATTAGAATATTTTTTAAAAAAGTTTTTACTTTTTTAACAATTGGAAAAATTATTTTACATTAATTAATCAAATAAGTGAAGCTTTGTTTTGGTGGTGCATTGTGCGAACTAAGAAAGTGCAAAGACTAATTTTTATTTAGACTGGAGTGTAAAAAATTGATCAAAACACCGTGGAAGAGATAAAGAACGAAATTTTTTTATTTATTTACTTTTTTTTTGCTATTTTATTTTTTGCTTGCATTATTTTGCATGAAAAAACTCTATTTCCCCAAAAACTTAAGCAGACACTCACATTTTTCTGAGGAACAATGATAGCACTTTTCTCGATTCGCTTGAAAGCAAAGCAATTAAATTTTCTCAAAAATTAAAAAAAAATTTACAAAAAAAAACAATTTTTTAATTATACTGCTATCTCGAAAAACAGAAAATTTCTGAAATTTATTTTTCACCAAAATTGTTATAATTGTAATTTTCTTATTTCTATTATTATTACTTCTAAAATTAATTTTTCTTAAAAATATTTCACTGTTTTTCAAAATTGACAAAAAACATTTTATTTTTTTTTTTACCAAAAAAAAAAGTTTGGAAATTTGGCTGTAAGAAATATGATTTCAGTGACTTTAAACTTAAAAATTTTTAAATTTTACAATTACATATTGTAAAAATGTAAAATAACTGAAACACTTAAATGTAACTTTTGATAATAATAAATTTTTGTATGTAAATATTTATTATAATTTTTTGTGTAATTGTATTATAAAAAAATTAAAATTTTTGTTTGACTGTTAAAAAAATGTAAATTATTATGTAAGTGCAACAAAATTGTCACAATTTTTTAAATAAATTTTTTTTTTAATTTGTTTTTGTTTAGGTGAAAAGAAGAAAAATAGTTCTGTACATTCGTATAAGTGAAAAAAGCAGCCTGATGCAAAGACTGATGAGATGAAAAAAAATAAAATTACAAAAACGCTTTGAAAAAAAAGTAATTGTAATAAAAAACAAAGAATGTTGATATTTAAAAAAAAAAAGAATATTAAGATGAATCACTGACAAAATTGAAATGTAAATATGTATAATATAGCACTTATGAGAAAAGTGATGAAAACGAAATGTAAATTGAACTTCTATAAGAAAACTATGTACAAATAGTACAAAAAATTTACATCAATATTTTTTAAGAAAAAAAACAAAAAAAATATTGCCCGTTGAAATGATTTACAAAATAAAAAAAAAAATTTTTTTTTTGAAACATTTGAAAAAATTAATTTTTCTATCTAATAAAAAAATTTGTGACACATTACCTGCTTGCTCCGATGACCGACTATGCCGACCAGCAGCTTGTTCGGTTATATCGTTTAGCGCCATTGCATCTAGAAAATTTTCAATTTAAAAAAATGTATTTAAAACAAAAATATAATATAATAATATAATAATAATAATAATAATATAATAATAATAAATAATAATAATAATATATAATAATATAATTAAATAATAATAATAATAATAATATAATATATATAATAATATATATTTTTTTTTTTTATTTACACTTTTTTTTTTTTTTTTTTTTTTTTTTTTGTACATAAGTACTAAAAATAATTTTTTTCAACCAAAACAATCTATTTTTTAAAATAAATTATGAATTCTTTGAATTCCGAAACTCACCTTTCATATCAACCACCGCTTGTTGATGTGAGGAATCGATAAAAGGATTGTCTTGTTTCAATTTAATAAGCGAATCTTCTGTTTCTCCATCCTGAAAGGAAAAATTTCAATTTTAAAAAATTTGCAATCCGTAACGTTAAACGTAATCCGTAAACCGTAATCCGTATTCCGTAATCCGTTACGCGTCAACCGTAGACTATAAACTAATGCGCGAAACTCGATTGCAAGATAAGGAGGAAAAACGCAATAGTATTCCGTATTACGTAAACGTAATAGTATTCCGTTTGACGTAAACCGTTAGCCGTAATAGTATTCCGTATAATGTAACACGTTAGTCATAACATTAGTCCGTATGACGTAGCAACAGGTATCTGTCAACGTAACACCTATCCGTACAACGTAAACCGTAATTATTATCCGTAAAACGTAATGCTTAATCCGTATAACGTAATATTTATCTATATAACGTAAAACGTAATACTTAATCCGTATAACGTAATACTTATCAGTCTAACGTGAAACGTGATACTTAATCCGTATAACGTAATACTTATCAGTCTAACGTGAAACGTAAAACTTATCCGTAAAACGTAATACTTAATCAGTTTAACGTAATACTTAATCCCTATAATGTAATACTTATCCGTCTAACGTGAAACTTATCCGTATAACGTAATACTTATCAGTCTAACGTGAAACATGATACTTTTCCGTATAACGTAATACTTAATCTATATAACGTAAAACGTAATACTTAATCCGTATAACGTGATACTTATCCGTATAATGTAATACCTATCCGTATAACGTAATACCTATCCGTATAACGTAATACTTATCCGTACGAAACGTAAGACTTCAATCATAAATGGTAAAATTTAAGCTGGACAACATTTACGGAAATGTTGAACGTAAAGAGTGGGACGTAATCCGTAACGTCTACTTTAGGCCCGTTCTACAATAAAGTTAACGTCACTAGCGCGTTTCGAAAGCGAAATTGTAGAATTGGCCTAAAATAATGGTCAATCGACAAACGTAACGCATAAAGTAGCTTATAAAGCATACCTTAAGACATAAACCATCAAAAAAGAGAAAATGTTCTGCAGACTAACAAATGAGAGAATTTTTTTTTTTTTTTTGAAACCTTACCGTACTGTGATAATGATGATGTTTATGAATTGCCTCTGCCGTATTTCCATTAATCGACGCCTGTCTCGCTGATCGACTTCTCAATTTACTCTCCTTTGTCATTGGTTTACCAATATTACCAATACCACCAAGAAGATCGCAATGCGACGTGTAGGACAATTTTGACGCGTGTGAAGTGTATGACGAGTGACGTGAACCCAAATTTGCGTAATACATTGGCACAACAATTGCGCCATTTTCCTCTGACATTGGCGTAACTGCATTGGAATCATCGGCATAGGGCAAATGCTCCTGTGCGTCTAAATACGTTGAAAGTACAAGGGGTTTACGATCACCACCCGATGGTCCAACGAAACGACGACCATTACGTATGGTGAATTGATGACTCCCACGACTACCGCGTCTAATATTGAATGGTGAACCCGGCAGACTTAGACTTGCCTGTAAATATGGAAAATTTTTTTTTTAGAGAGAATTCAATAAATTGGTTTAATTTAATTGTGAATTTCCTCCATTTGGGGGGGGGTAGTTTTGAGTAAATTTTCTTGCGCAATGGTGAAATACGGTTATCACGCATGCGCAGTAGTGTAATAAAGTTGAAACGCATGCGCAAAAGTATTTTTCCAGTATTACACATGCGCAGTAGTGTAATTCGTGCCTTACACATGCGCAGAAGTGTAATTCACATATTATTCATGCGCAGTAATGTAATTCGTGTCTTACACATGCGCAGAAGTGTAATTCAGGTCTTACACATGCGCAGTAGTGTAATTCGTATCTTACACATGCGCAGTAGTGTAATTCGTATCTTACACATGCGCAGTGGTGTAATTCGTGACTTACACATGCGCAAAAGTGTAATTCAGGTCTTACACATGCGCAGTAAAGTAATACAGTTCACACATATGCGCAGTAGTAAAGTACTGTAGTACATTACCAGCAAAAGTAAAATAGAGTTTAAAAAATACATTTTTTTCTCCTTTTGCAATTAAAAACAAAAGAATAATTTCAAACTTTGTAATTTAAACATAAACTTGGTTAAAAAAATTAAAAATCGAGTTAGAAAAAAATTTTCCTTCAATTTTCCTAAAATATAGAGTAACAGTACGTACAGTTTGAGAAGGAGAATAAGAGAGAAAAAGACAGAGAATGAATGAGAGAGAATGGATTAGAATCCAATGACGTACCTTCCTCTTATTTTCCTGGTAGGCATTAGTAAACTGGCCACTAGGGACGCGAGAGACCTTGAGAAAAAGAGAAGATGAAAGAAATATCTTCTACTACGAAACAAATTTCGTCAAAATTGGATTACAAATATTTTTTTCTTTTTTTCTTTTTTTTTGTTTGTAACACCAAAAGAGGCACTTTTTTGCGAAAGCACACATAATGAAGAAAGTGTTGCTTGCTTTTTTCTGTTTTCTACCTATTTGTAAAATACTTTTAAAATCAAAGAATTTTGATGATAAATTTTTCTTTTCAAATATAGCCAGTTTCCATTCGCATTAACAAGATACTGTTATTTTTTTTCAAAAATACTTTGCATGCAAAGAATTTAAGGATGATCTGACGTACTGTACTTTTATCAAAAAATTTCAACAAGCCATGATTTCTTCACTGAAAAAAGAGAAGATTTTGTTTGTTTGTTTTGGCAGTGAAGAAAAGGAAAATTTTTTTTCTTTCTTTTAAATGAAAATTGGAAAAAAAGAGAATTAAAATAAGAAATATGAGAGAGGGGAATATTGAAGAAAATAAGAGAAGAAATAAAGAAAAATTGAAAAAATAGAAGATAGCATAAAATGAATTGAAGAAAACAAAAGAAAAAACGAAAGAAATAGAAAGGGAAAAATAGAAGAAATAAAAAAAAAGAAATGGAAGAAATGAAAAAAATAGAAAAAATAAAGAAGAAGAAATGGAAGAAATATATGAAATAAAAAAGAAGAAATATAAGAAAACAGTGAAGTGAATTGAAGAAATTAAAAAAAAGAAATAAAACAAAATGAACACAAATAATATTTTCTTATTTCAATTTTTCTTTTTCAAACCAATTTTCTTCATTAAAATATTTTCAGTGAAGAAATGAAGATAATTATTACGAAACAAAATATATGGACATTCAAAATTCTGAGAGACAAATTTTATAATAATAATTATTTTTGATGAAGAATGGAAGATCAATGACAATAATTCCAAAAATCCAACTACTGCATCCACAATATAATCTGCAAATGACGACGATGACGAAAAAATTAAAATTTTCTTTCTCTTCTTTTTTTTAATACTTTAAAAAATGAAGAATGCCCTACGAGGAAAACTACAATAATTCTACATTTTCTAATGAGAAAATTATTACTTCATATCATGTAAATTATATTATTATAAAAGATAAATAATTAACTTATAAAATACTTTTTATACTCAAATTAAATCTACAATATTATTGCTAGTATTACGAAGAAATTATTGACTAAAAACATTTTTTTGTCAAATAATTTTTTGGGGAAAAAATTATTTTTAATTAATTGTTTTTTTTGGGAATTGAAAATTCTTTTCTGCCTTTCAATTAAATTGAAAAATGAAAACTCAAATAGTTTTGTTTTTAAAAGGAAAATTTTTTTATAATAAAATTTTCAGCATTTATGAAAATTTTTAAAAATAATTCCCATTTTTTAATAAATTGGAAATTTTTTATATCTAATTTAAATATAGAGTCTGAAAATAAGTGTAACCAAAAAATAGATACTTAATTTAAAACTAATTAATTAATTAATTAACTAATTAATTAATTAATTAATTAACTAATAATTAATTAATTTAATATTAATTAAACTAAAAAATTACAATTCAGTTAATTAGTTAAATTATTAATGATTATTATTATCAATTATTGAATAATTATTAATTAATTATTCATAATTTTGACCAGTTATTAAGTAATTATTAATTTTTATTAGTTATCAAATAATTATTAATTATTTATTTAATGATTAACTTTATTACTTGACAAAAAATTATTATTAATTAATTAAATAATTATTAATGATTAATAATTAACTGTTATTTATTAATTGTTATTTATTGATTGTTAAATATTAATAATTCTTAACTGATAATTATTAATAATTGTTAATTGCTATTTATTAAAAAATTATTAGTTATTAATTAATTATTAATTATTTTATTTTAATTATTTATTTTATTTTTATCTTTTATTAATTATAAATTAATTTTGTTTTATCAAAAAAAGTGAAATTTTTTTATTATTATTAAACATTTTTCTAGATTGTGATTTATGGAAATACCTATATTTCAACAGTATTTTTTTTAAAGCTGCAATGCAAAAGCTCATGCATTTTTTTCGTGCCACTTTCCTCTCTTGATTTTTTTTTTATAAAAAAAAAGAAACAAAAAATCATGTATACTACAAATTGAAAACAATTGGCAGCACAAGTACCTTTAAATTTTTTCATATTCAACATGCAAATTAAAATTTATTTAAAATAATAAATGTTTCTCTCAACGAAAAAATATGGAAATTATTTTTGTAAAAATATTACATTTTAATATTTATAATGACTTTTTTCCAATTAAGATTTTCTTTTTTTTTATTTTAATTAAAACGAAAATTTGATAATATTCATTTCTTTCGATTTTTAACAATAAAAAAATCTTGCAAAATTGTTTGTTATAAACAATTGATTATAAAATTAATTTGTTTATACAAAGAATTTTTTCATTAAACTAATTTGTTTACAAACAAATGTTAAGTAAAATAGTTCAATAAACAATTGTTAAGCAAAATAGTTTATAAACAAATGTTTCTAAAACGAATTTGTTTATAAATAATTTATAATTTGTTTATAAAAAGATGTTTCTAAAAAAATTTTGTTTATAAACAATATTGTTTATGAAAAGAATTTTCTTATTAAACTGCATGAAACAATTATGTTTATAAACAAAGACTGTTAATTAAAATAATTAAACATTTTAAATTGTTTATTAAAGTATTATGATTTTAAAAAATTGTTTCTATTTAAATTGTCTTAATAAACAAATGTTGTTAATCAAAATAATTTAAAGTACAATTTTTTTTTAATACATTAAAAAATTAAAAAAATTGTTTATAAACAAATTAGATTAATAAACATTTGTTAAGTAAATAAATAAATAAACAATTGTTAAGCAAAATAGTTTAATAAACAAATGTTATTGAGCAAAATAGTTTAATAAATGAATTGTTTATTAAATTCTTCTCCATATAAATATTTGTTTATTAAACTTTTATGCTTATAAAAAATTGTTTGTAAACGAATTAGTTAAATAAACAAATATTGTTAATCAAATTTATATCAAAATATCAAAATAGTTTAAAAAACAATTGTTTATTAAAATATTAAGCTTTAAAGAAAATGTTTATAAACAAATTAGTTAAATAAACAAATGTTGTTAATCAAAATAGTTCACAAAAAAAATTGTTTATTAAAATATTAAACTTTAAAAAATTGTTTATAGACAAATTAGCTAAATAAACAAATCTTTTTTAAATTATCCTTATAAACAATTGTTTATTAAAGTATTATGGTTATAAAAAATTGTTTAAAAAATGTTGGTTATCAAAATAGTTTAAAAAACAATTGTTCATTAAAATATTAAGCTTTAAAAAATTGTTTATAAACAAATTAGCTTAATAAACAAATCATTTTTAATTTATCATCCTTATAAACAATTGTTTATTAAAGTATTTTGGTTATAAAAAATTGTTTATATTTAAATTAGCTCAATAACAAAATTATTGAACATAAAATGTTTATTTATAATTTTTATAATTGTGAAATAAAAAATTTGTTTTTTTTTTGTTATAAAAACGATAAAAGGAAAAAAATTTGATTACTTACGGCACTGACTTTTCGCACTTTATTGGTGGTGGTGGTGGTTGTGTGATTATTTATAATTTTAACTCTATGTTCACTGATGGACTCAACGGATCTAATGCTCATTTGTTCCTTATTATTATCGTCGGTGCCCTTTTCTTGACCAACAAATAATTCATAACTATGGCAGGAAAAGTCTGAAGGCGACTTTACTATTCGTTCGGCGGCTGCAGCAGCTGCTGCTTCCCGCGCTGCAGCTTGAGCCGCCTGTTTGTGTTCTTTCGCTAAAGCCGCTTCTTCCGCTTCCTGAAAATTAGTTTTTTTAATTATTATTTTTATTATATTCAAATAAACTATTTTATTAATAAAAAAAAAAAAAAAAAAAAAAAAAAATTTATTTTGTATTTAAAAAAATAAGAATAGAAGAAAAAAAATAATAATTTACCCTAATCGCTTCCTCTTCAGCGGCTTCCTCCTCCTCGGCTTTCTTTTGTAATTCATCGTACGACATCGCGACAATGGCGAGGATCAAATTAACAAGATAAAATGATCCCAGGAAAATGATAACAATGAAAAATAACATATGCCATGGCCCCGCCGATCTCAGCACCAGCTGATAAAGATTCTCCCAATAATCCTGTGTCATAAGACGAAACGCAGAAAGAAGCGCCCAACCAAATGTATCGAAGCTTGTATAACCATAATTCGGATTATCCCCATAACCTTGTAAACACGTGTAACCAGGTGGACACATCCTGAACAATTTCAATAATCATTATTTATTCATTTTTCAATAAAAAAAAAAAAAAATTTCGAATTGGCTCTCTTACCCCGCGCCCGACGAATTTCCACACAAGGGCATGTTCCCGGCTTCATCCACGTACCAATTAGCTGTTAATTGAATTAAAAAATTTTTTATTAAAAAATTTATTTTCTTGTCAAATATTATCCATTTTTGTTTTCTTTTATAAAATAAATTTTTCTTAGAATAAAACTTTTTAGAATAAAAATTTTCAAAAAAAAAAAAAAAAAAAAATTTTAAATAAAATTTTTTTTTTTGAAATAAATATCTTTTTGTCATAAAAATATAAAAAGCAACGCATATAATATATTTTATACTCACAATCATTGTTAGTAAATCGTTCCCAATTTTCGTGCGTTAAATTACCCCACGAGTTGTCGTCCGGAAAATTTTTTATACATTTTTGCGTAAGCACCCCCATATAAATTTGAAGACCCATAAGTGCAAAGACGGAAAGGGAGAACATTGTTAGGATTATCACATCGCGTAGATTTTTAACGGACTCTATCACAGCGCCGACAATGGTTTTAAGACCTTTTAAAACAAAACAAAAAAGTCATTAATAATAATAATAATAATGAAAAATTATTATTTCTTTTGTTTTTTATTATTTTTACCTATGTATGCTTGACTGTAAGTTTGCCACGCAAGTTTTTGCAATTTGTGCAAACTTATCAAAAAAAAAAAAAAAAAAAAAAAAAAAAAAAAAAAAAAAAAAAAAAAATTGTCGCAAAAACTTAAAAAATTGTTTATAGGATTTTAAAGAATTTAATTTTAATTAAAAAAATTTTGCTTTATTTGCAAAATATGCCTGGCAAGCTTGCACCAAGTTTGTTGCAAGTTTATCACGCCATCTGTGAATTCATAATGAAAGGGGGAGAGTACATTTTCCTATTGATTATAGAAATGTTATTTTAAAAATTAAATTAAAAATAAATATTCATCTTAATTATAAATATTTTTAAATTTTGCTATTTTTTGTATTTTTTCGTGTTTTTATTTTTAGTTCTAAAGTATTTTCTTAATTTTTTTTGTTTCTAAAAGTGTGTTAGTGTTTAAAGCCTAAAAATGTAACTAACGGGTAGAATAATATATTATATAGGAATAAAAATAATCTATATAAATAAATTTATCTATCACACAATCGTTAATTTTTAATGTATACGATTTATAATTAATAATTATACATTTTTTTTCATTTTTCAATTTTTTAAAATTCTTTTTGTATTTTGAAAAAAAAATTTTTAATTTTTATTTATATATATACAATATTATAAAATAAATATATTATAAATCGTAACATATTCTAATGTAAAAACTTTATAAATAACTAAAAATATTTAATTTTCACTAAAGATATATTTAAAAAAAAAAAAAAAAAAAAAATTGTAGTTAAGACTATATATATTCACTAAAAAGCAAAAAAATTCGTAAAAAATAAAACAAACAAAAAAACTAATTTTCTAAAGCATACCTGGTACAATAGCGACAGTCTTCAAGGCTCGGAGGACTCGAAATGTCCTGAGAGCAGCAAGGTTGCCTAGATCTATTCCCATCGTCACATAACTGCAATAACCCGAACATCACACACACATTACAGTTGTAAAGAAAAACCAAACAACAAAAAATTTATTAAAAAAAAAAAAAAAAAAAAAAAAAAAAATTGAAACAATAATTACAAATGGAAAATTTAAAAGTTGAAAAAATAGTAATAATTTTATTAATTATAATTAAAACGATAACAAACAAATTTTAAGAAAATATAATAATAATAATTGTTAATAATAAAACTAATAATGAAAATAGTAATCATAATAATAAAACTAATAATGAAAATAGTAATAATAATAACAATAATAAGAATTATTATTATAATAAATAATAATAATAATATTAATAACAATAAAAAATTAAAAAATTTATTAAGTTAAAAAAAATGAAACAATAATTACAAATGAAAAATTAAAAGGTTAAAAAAATAGTGATAATTATAATGAATATGATTAAAACAATAATAAACAAATTGTAAAGAAATATAATAATTATTACTATTATTATAATAAATAATAATAATAATATTAATAACAATAAAAAATAAAAAATTCATTAAGTCAAAAAAAAAAAATTAAAACAATAATAATTACACATGAAAAATTAAAAAGTTCAAAAAATAGTGATAATTTTAATAATTATAATTAAAACTATAACATAAATTATTATTAAAAAAAAATAAAAAGCAATAATAATAGTAAAAATAAAAATAATTAAAAATTAATAACTTGGTTAATAACGAGAACAATAACAATAATTGTTACTGACTACTGCCTAAAATTTAACCTGGCTAACCCCATTATTTAAAAATCGATAAAAGGATTTCTGAACTAGTACTGCATGCAGAATCATAATAATAATAATAATAATGAAAATCATTTTAACAACAAATAAAACTGATAATAATCCAATGAAAGTTCAATTAATAAAATGGATCATTAACTTTAATCTGTATTTTTGACACTCTATCCTTTATTTTTTATCCACTTGCCGCTCATTATATCACAAAGCAGTGTGTGTATATGTACACAGTATATATAACCTGTTGCTCTTGCCAAACACAAGAACATCAAATTTATTTTTCATTCAATCAATTATTATTAATCACATATTATAATATGTTATTTTAATCTTCTATTAATTATTTATAATTTTCAATCTACCAAATTTTAATAATAAATACTTAAATTAAAAATTTTACGTCTAAGAGAAATTTAAACAACTTATTTGTGACCTTTTTTACTATTTTTTCTGTTTGCAACTGACAGGCAATTTTTTATGACCACAGAGGAAAATATTTTTAAATTATTTTATGACCATTTCCAACTGATGGTTAGAAAACAATAATTTTTTCCAACTGTTCGCAACTGGCAGGCAATTTTTTATGACCATAGAAAGAATATTTTAAAATAATTTTATGACCTTTCTGGCTCTTTTTCCTACTGTTTTCAACAGGTAAGCAATTTTTTATAAACAAAAGGAAAATAAAAAAAATTATTTTATGACTTTTTTTCCGACCAATGAGTTAAACAGTAAATTCGATATTTAGTTATCATTTACTGAATTATTTTTTATGTCAATAAAGTGGCAAAGGTTTTTAAAAAATAGGATAAGTGTCATGTAAATTTTACAAAAAATATATATATTATAACTCCCGATATGAGGAGAATATAAAAAGAATGAAATAATTAAACATTAATAATGATAAATTAATGGTAATTATAACAATGACGATGATGTTAATAATAAAGATAATTTTTGTAAAAAATTATAATCTAATTTGTCAAAAAAAAAAAAAAAAAAAAAAAAAAAAAATTGTAATAAAACATTTTCTATCAACATTTATTTAAATGTATATACTCTAATCTACAACAATATCAAGTATATATATGTAATTCAATAATTTTTATGAATATCAATATATATGTGTATAATAATAAATATATGTATACACATATGTATTGGCAACTAATCTAAAAGAAAAAATGAGAGACAATTATTATTATAAATGATAAATACATTTTTCGTATCATTAAAGACGAAATATATATAAATTTATTTTCTTGTATAGGAGGTCGCAGAAAGATTGATTCTTCTTTAATCGTTTCTACAGATTATTGTGACTTTAACTAAATTGACAACAATTGTCACCCAATTGTCAATTCCCAAAGGGGAAGGCGAAAGTCTTCCCCTTTTCTTCTATATAATATACAATATATATATGAATTTTTTTCTATTCTATTAAATTCTACATTTTATTGAACAAAAACAATTTTAATTAATACGTATGTATATATAGGTGCAATGATAGAAAATAATTATCTTTCTAATAAAGAATTTCGAAAGTACAATAATTCTTTTTTTTGGGAAAAATAAATATTCATTTTATTTAATTATTGACGACGATTTTGAATTTTTTTAAATTCTATTTAAATTCGGATGTATAACATAAATCATATATAGAAAAAATTAAAAAATAAATTTTTTTTATTTGAATTTGCAAAGTAATGTTTTAAATAAAGCAGGTAAGTTTACAAAAAAATATACTGTGACTTTCACTTTCACTTTCACTTTCACTTTCACGTTCACTATCTCTTGACTTTCAATTTAACTTTCACTTTCACATTCACTTTTACCTCACTTTCACCTCACTTTCACTTCACTATCTCTTGACTTTCAATTTAACTTTCACTTTACATTCACTTTACTTTCACTTTACATTCAATTTACTTTCACTTTACTTTCCCTATTAGTTCACTTTCATTTTAACATTCACTTTCACTTCCCCTTACATTCAATTCACTTCACCTTCATTTTACTTTCACTTCAATTTTATTTTTACCTTCACTTTACATTTACTTTACTTTCACTATAACTTTACTTTAATTTTGACTTTCACTTCACATTCACTTCACCTCTCTTTCTTCACTTCCACTTCACATTCATTTTACTTTTACTTCACCTCACTTTCACTATTACTTCACATTTATTTCCTTTTACTTTACTTTCACTTTCATTTTAACTTTCACTTTACATTCACTTCACTTTCATTTTACTTTCACTTCAATGTTATTTTTACTTTACCTCACTTTCACTTTAATTTCCTTTTATTTTACTATTACTTCACTTTCACTTCTATTTCCACTAAACTTTCACTATTACTTCACTTTCATTTCATTTTCATTTTACTTTCACTTCACCACACTTTCACCTTACTTTTATTTTTACATCACTTCATCTCACTTTCATTTTACTAAAGTGATGTGAAGTAAATTTAAAAATGAAAGTGAATTAATAGTCAAAGTGAGGTGAAGTAAAAGTAAAGTGAATTTGAAGTGAATGTGAAGAAAGGGAGGTGAAGTGAAAGTAAAGTAAAAGTGAATGTGAAGAGAAAGTCAAAATGAAAGTGAAATAATACTGAAAGTAAAGTGAAAGAAAAGTGAAAAAAATGAAAGTAAAGGAGAAGAAAAGTTAATTGAAGTGAAAGTAAATTGAAAGTAAGGTGAAGTGAAAGTGAATTTTGAAATGAAAGTGAACTAATAGAAGTAAAGTAAAAGTAAGGTGAAAGTAAATTATAAGTAAAGTGAACTAATAGAAGTAAAGTAAAAGTAAGGTGAAAGTGAAGTGAATGTAAAGTGAAAGTTAAAATGAAAGTGAAAGTCAGGTGAAGTAAAAGTAAGTGAAAGTGAAGTAATAAGGAAAGTAAAGTGAATGTAAAGTGAAAGTAAAGTGAAAAAATGAAAGTAAAGTAGAAGAAAAGTGAATTGAAGTAAAAGTAAATTGAAAGTAAGGTGAAGTGAAAGTGAGTGTTAAAATGAAAGTGAACTAATAGGGAAAGTAAAGTGACAGTAAGGTGAAAGTAAATTGTAAGTAAAGTGAAAGTAAAGTGAAAGTAAAGTGAAAGTAAAGTGAAAGTAAAATGAAAGTGATGTAAATGTAAAGTGAAAGTTATAATGAAAGTGAAGTGGAAATAGAAGTGAAGTGAAAGTGAAGTATCAGTAAAAGGAAAGTGAAAGTGAGATATAGTAAAAATAAAATTGAAGTGAAAGTAAAATGAAAGTGAAGTGAATGTAAGAAGAAAAATAAAATGAAAGTGAAGTTATAATGAAAGTAAGGTGAAAGTAAAGTGAAAAAAAAAAGTAAAGTAGAAGAAAAGTGACTTGAAATGAAAGTAAATTGAAAGTAAGGTGAAGTGAAAGTGAGTGTTAAAATGAAAGTGAACTAATAGGGAAAGTAAAGTGACAGTAAGGTGAAAGTAAATTGTAGGTAAAGTGAAAGTAAAATGAAAGTGATGTAAATGTAAAGTGAAAGTTATAATGAAAGTGAAGTGGAAATAGAAGTGAATTGAAAGTGAAGTATCAGTAAAAGAAAAGTGAAACTGAAGTGAAAGTAAAGTGAAAGTGAGATAAAGTAAAAATAAAATTGAAGTGAAAGTTAAATGAAAGTGAAGTGAATGTAAGAAGAAAAATGAAATAAAAGTAAAGTGATAATGAAAGTATAGTGAAGTGAAAGTGAAGTGAAAGTGTGCTGAAGTGAATGTAAATTGAAAGTGAGATTATAAGTGAAAGTAAAATGAAAGTGAAGTGAAAGTTAAAATGAAAATGAAGTGATAGTGAAATGAAAGTAAAGTGAAAGTTAAAATGAAAATGAAGTGAAGTAAAAAGGTGAACTAAAAGTTACCGCAAACTTAGACTCTATTTAAAACATTACACATTCATAATGAACCCAATAAATTTTAATATTCAATTACTAAAATGTGTTTTATTCTATAAAAAATCACTATATAGTAAAAATAATAAAAACTGGTAAATAATTCTATTTTCTCAAAAAAACTTCTAGATCTCTAAATTAATGATCGATGTATAACAATAATAGCATTATGTGTAGTTACATCCTATATGTAATTGTAATATTCGGTACTTAACGCATCTATCGATGATTTTTCAATGACAAGAAAACCTGGAATCTAACTCTTGGCTAATTAGTACTTCGAAGAAGGGGGAGAGAAAGAGAGAGAGAGAAATTAGAGAGGCTTGCCTGTTAATGTGCCTGATGAAAGTGGAATAATAATAATAATAATAATAAAAATTGAATATTGGTACCGTACATTGATATTTAAGTTTTGCATAATTAGCTTTTTACCAAATTGCAAAAAAAAATGAATTAAAAAAAATACTGATACTAATAATTGTTGATGGTAGAATTATTGCGAAGGGGTAAAAAAGGGGAGTGGGTGAAGAATTACAATAAACAAAGAACTCTTAATACCCAGGGAAAAAAAAATAATTTTCGAAAAGAGAACCTTTTTTTCCTAATTTTTTTTTTTTACTAAAATACAATTCTTTTTTTGCTTTATTTTTTTTAATAAAAAATAAAATGAATTAACTACTCACGCTAAAGCTATAACTACGAAGTCGAGCCAATTCCATGCATCTCTAAGATAGGTAAAAGGCTGCAGAATGAAACCCCTCGCCATCACCTTAACGGCGGACTCAAATGTGTAGATGCCCGTAAATATGACTCTGGAAAAAAGAAATTTTTTTTTTAACCCTCGAAATCAAAATTTCTTTTTTTTTATCTGCAGAATTATATTTCTTTCCTGATTTACAACTATAGAGGTGAATTAAAATATTTTTTTATATTAATAAAATTACGTATTATACAGTCAAATGGGGCACTTTGTAACAATGGGGTAATAAGTGACAACTACTTTTAAATATAATCTTTTTTTTTGTTTTTTTTTATTTTTTTGTTTTTCTTTCTTTTAGTCATCAAATAAAATAAAAGTCTAACTTTAATTATTATTATTAAAATACAAAATCTAATAATAATTAATTTTGAATATAAATTTTTTTTATTTTTTAAATAACATAAAAATCCAATTTTATTTATTGTTTTCGAATATTATATTATATAAATGAATGATATTAAAAATAAGATTTTAAAAAAATTGAAATGGAAGAAAAACTCACTCGGTGGATTCGATGGTGGGCGTTGTGGGCATGATCATGAGTATGCAGTTAACCAAAATTGTTGTGATGATGAATAGAGAGAAGAGTGGGTGGACCAATATGTAGATGGCCACCCGTCGTATTGGATTAAATGGATCGAGGATCCACATCGCGTCGGTCGCGGAGAACCTGAATATGTCCTTTCCTTTACTGATAACCACGAACGTCTACAAAAACAAAAGCAATTTTTCCACACATAAATCACATTCTTACCTCTTTTATCTCAATTTGAATTTGTAATTTTAGAAAAATTCCATCTATTTACACACATTTGAAAATTTTCAACCCTCTAATTTTACGGAAATCTATATACGTTAAAAAATTAGTCCCTTCCATAAAAGCTGTATAAAATTATTAAAATTTGAGTAATTACTATATTTAATTACTATAATTACTATACTAAGTAATTACTGTAAATATAAAAAAAATTTAGTATCAGTTCACGTGGAATGACCCTATGGTCATTCCATGTGAACTGATAATAAATTTTTTTTATTTATTTCTCTAAAATTGGAAACATTTATGAAAATCTGTCCCTATAATAAAAACTGTATAAAATTACCGAAATTTAAGTAATTACTATATTTAATTACTATAATTACTATACTAAGTGATTACTGTAAATATAAAAAAAATTTTAGTATCAGTTCACGTGGAATGACCCTATGGAATGACCCTATGGACCCTATGGTCATTCCATGTGAACTGATACTAAATTTTTTTTTATTAATTTCTCTAAAATTGAAAACATTTATAAGAATCAGTCCCTACCATAAAAACTGCGTATAAAATTACTAAAATTATATTACGAAAAATTTCTCTCAATTTTTTTTTGAAATAATTGAGTTTTTTTTTTTTCAATTTGATAATAATGATTTTTATTATTGTTACCCTTTGATTGAAGTAAAAACTATCAATATCTTCAAGAGGTGTGGAGGCCAGCTCGGGGGGAAATTCGTTGTGCAGTCGGACCGGAAGGGGCGCTCCTTGCTCAAACATTGGATCCGGTTGAGGACCCTCATCTTCGTCTTCGTCATCGTAACGTACCTGAGGATAAATTCTAATCTGTCGTTAATGCTCTAAAGCAAATTAATTTTATCTCTTTTCTTTATAATTTTCATTACAAAATTTGTTTACTAGGATTAAAAACAAAAAAAAAATTTACGTGATAATTTTTTTCTATCTATTTAAAACTTTTTTTTCGATTTTCAGAAATGGGCAACAAAAAATAAACTATTTTTAAAAATTTTTAAGTAAATATTTATTAAATACATAAATTTTGTTTAAAGAAATAAAATTTTGATCTTAAATTATTTCATTTTTATAAATAAATGAAATAATTTTTTTTTAAAATAATTTTTTATTTATAATAAATTAATAATGTGCCCATTCCTGTGCTTTAATTGTAATCACTGTTAAAAATTTAATTAATCAAATCTTTTTTTTTTTTTTAGAAAATATTAAATATTTTTAACAGTGTACGAATGTGCTTTAATTTTTGAAAGCAAAAAAATGAAACTATAAACTGATGCCACATTTGAAAAACAAATCTATATATATATTAATATTGTAATAATAATTTGATGAAAAACTATTTCTAAACCTAAAAAAAATTGTACACGATGCAGCTGCGTGGGCAGTGTTTTTTTTTGGCTTCTTTATATGCGTGAGTGAATAAGTGTTTTTATTTGTTTTTAAAAAATTTATTTTTTCTTGGCATATTAAAAAATAATCAATCATATGAAAACAACAATATTTTTAATAATATTTTTCATTTCTATTTAAATTCTATTTTGTATTTTACAAAAAAAATTTTTTTTGTGTATTAGAATAATAAATAAAAAATAAACAATGTTACCAATTTCTGACTATAAGTTAATATTATTTGACAAGTGTCGACCTCCTTTTGTCTATTCTTAAGCCTTATTTTAAAAATAGACAACACAAATATATTGACACTTATCGAGTGGTTACTGTATTTATAGACAGCTATAATCTTTTACAGCATATATACGTATATATACATAAATGGTTATATTTTATCAATATTATTATTATTATTAGAAAAAAAAGGTAAATCATACTTTCTTTTGTGTGTAAAAAGTATTAAATTATTTTTAACTTAATTTTAAATTCTAATTTCTTAATAAGAAAGAAATTTCAGAAAAAAGAAAAAAAAATCCAAAAAATGAAAATTTTTCTTTTTTTAATAATTTATCATTTTTTTGAATTTTTAATTTCAAAAAAAATTATTATTAAATATAAAAATTCTTGTTTTCAATAGACTGTTAATATAAAAAAAATACAAATAGAATCAAGAAAAATATATAAATTGGCAAATTACATAATTAAAAAATTCCCACTATAGGTTTTGAATAGTTTTTTCTTTACTTACACTTTTCATTGTTTATTGCACTTTGATAATAATTCGCACTTAATTCTAAATCTTAATTAAATTATCTATTTCAAAGTATATTAAATTTTTTCTCCTTATATCGACTGTAAATGTAACTTTAAATCGATAAATCAATTTTTATAATTCGATTTTTAAAAATCCTATAAATCGAATATAAATAAACATATAAATCGATATTTAAAAAATCGATTTTAAATAATAATAATAATTATAAATAATATCGAATTTATACAAATCGATAAATCGATTAATTTTTTTTCATTCGATCAATCGAATTTAATCAATTTCATTAAACGATTGTAAGTGAATCGATTTTAAACAATTCGATAAATCGATTGTAATTAAATTGATAAGTCGATAATAATTAAATCGAGAAATCGATTATAATAAATCAAAAATCGATTATAATCAAATCGAAAATTCGATTATAAATAAATCGATAGATTCGTTATAAATAATTCTATGTAATATACATCGATAAAATAATTGTAAATATATCGATTGTAATTGTAATAAATCGATTTTTAATAGATCGATTAATCGACTGTCAATATAACGATTATTCGATTATATCGACATATTAAATGAAAATGTCGATTAGTCGTTAATAAAGATTTTGGGTAATTAATTAAGTACCTATGGATATATATATATCATTTAATTGATTTAATTTTTTTTTTAAATTTATAAACTTTCTAGTAATATATGCATATTATGTTAATGATAATAAAATAATGTAAGGATAATATTGTTATAGTGTTAATAAACATGTAATTTTAATAATTAATTTAGATTTTAACTTTGCATGTATACTTAAAAAAAAATTTAATTTTCTTTATTTTAAATAAATAATTAACTATTTAGGAAATAGTGTTTTGTAATAATATTGCAATATTATTAATAAAAAAAAACTATAATTTTTTTCTATTATTATTTTTTTTTTTTGTATAATTGTGTGTATAACTAAACTAAATGTTCGTTCCAAAATCTAGTCTAATTTTGTGTAAAGCCGGACTCCACAAAATTAATATTTTCAAATTTTTTTTTGTATATACCTCAATTACAAATAATTGCAGCCAGAGCTATTCTAATAATGGAATATCGATAAACAAATGAAATGAAATTCGATTTTTTCACTTCTGTCACTTTTTAAATTTTATTTGCAAATTTTTATTTTACTCAATTTTCTTAGTTATGCATCAATTTACATCGATATATCGATTATTGTTACCAAATATCGATATATCGATAATTAATGAAAAATATAGAGAAATCGATTATTGTTGTCAAATATCGATATATCGATTATTATTACCAAATATCCATATATCGATTATTAACGTCAACTATCGATATATCGAATATTATTACCAAATATCGATATATCGATTATTAATAGCAAATATTGATATATCGATTATTATTATTACAATATATCGATATATCGTTAATTGATAGAAAATATCGATGTATAATTATTTTATTGATCTAATATCGATATATTTCGATTATTAATAGCAAATATCGATAAATCGAATAATAAAATACGAATGATCGATATAATCGAAATCGACATTCCATTATTGAGCTATTGTGCGTGCAGAACAAGTATAATTTTTAATTGTAGATACCTAATAATTAAATGAATATTAAATATTAATAAATATATATATAAAAGTGACGATGTTTAGATATCGCATTGGTTTTCTTTTTTTTTTTAATTATTATTGGTTACATTCTGTTTTAAAGCGCATACTCGGCTATTCGTTAATTGGCTGATTTAATCAATAAATTATTACTAGCTGCGCTTTAAGGCAAACGGCAAATATCAGGCATTGCGAGTAATAACATTCATTCTAGAAGCATTATTGTTTCCTTTTTCTTTTTTCTTTTTTTTATTTCTGTTATTATTTTTCTCTTCTTCCATTTCAATTTAAAATTGTAAATAAAACATTTAATAATGTTTCAGAATTTACATTTAAAAGAAAAAATTTAATCAAGTTAATTTGAAAATTTAAAAGTAAAATAAAATTTTTGTTATAATTATTTTTTGAAAAAAAAAATTTCATTGAAGAAAAAAAATTTTTTTTTAATATATAATATATATGGTTTTTAAATTCGAAGGTAAAAAAAAATATTTTTTTAATGGAGTTTTTATAAATAAACATATTTTATATTTTTTCTTAAATAATTACTTTTTTAAGTAAGAAAAAAAATTGTTTACCACGTTTTAACGATGCGACAACCTTTGGTAATTAATTTTTGGAAAATTTTCCTTTAAATAAGAGAAAGAGAGAAAGGAGAAAGCAAGATAGATTGATAGTGAGAGAGAAAAAGATAGTGAAAGAGAGAGAGAGAGAAAGAGAAAGAGTACAAGAAACTATCAGAAAAGGCAAATATTTAGAGTAAGAATGAAGCAGATGCGCAAATTTCTGTAACTTCTAGAATTTAATTAAAATCTCTATAAATTACAGTAATAAACTCATTAAAAGTTTCAAAAGTTATTTCAAAATTTTACAAAAAAAAATATTTTCATCTTTTTCATAAACATAAAAATTAAAAATTCTATTTTTATTGTTACTGAAATTATAAACAAAAAATTCTCATTTCAAAAAAGTGAAAAGACTATTTGAAATAACTTTTAAAATACAATTAAAATTATCGAGGGAAAAAATTTTTTTTTAAGTATAAAAACACATTTGTTTCTAAAAGTCAAAAAAAAAATTCTATTTTTTCTTTTTCAAAAATGTACAACAAAAGAGAAAATTAATATTATTCAAAGGAGAATTAAAAAGAATAAATCAATTATTAACAATAAATTAATTAATAAATGAAAAATAAAATAAATAAACAAATTAATAAAAAAAATAACAAAAAAACTATAACAAATAAATTTCAAAAATAAATTAATAAACAAATAGAAAAACTGGTAAATAAATATAAAAAAAACTATTAAAAAAACTTCTTTTAAATTCATAAATAAGACAAAAGATATTAATAGATAAAAAATAAAATTAATAGACAAATAGAAAAAAACAAAAAATGAATAAACATAAAAAATTACTGTATAAATTTTTTCCCCTCAATTTAGAAGAATATTTCAAACTAAAGCGATAAAGCAAGCTTTAACAATGCAAAAAGCGCAAAAATTTAATTTTTCTTGAAAATAATGTGCACAAAAAATGTATTAACAGAGAATATTTTTTTCGCCTTCAATTGTCTAAATAAAATTCAGTTCTTCCATTTCAGCGGTCTTTAATATAGAAATTGAAAATACCGACTGTTGGCAACGTAAATATCTACATTACCGACGGTAGACATCATAGGTACCTACATTACCGACGGCTGATCATAGAAAATATTTTCTGTCTCTGAAGGTATACTATGTGAACACCTTTTTTACCAACTTCCGAATCAATTAACAATCAATAATTCAATTCTAGAAACTTAATTTTACCCCGAATGTAAATGTTGAGAAACTGTATTATCGATAAAGCGTAGCCACCAAGCATTTATCAAATAATGATTTTTAGTTAAAATTTATTATTTTGTCTTTACACATTGCAAAAATCTCGTACTTACAGCATTAATTCACAATATCTACTGTTGGATATATAGGTACCTACTGTACCAACAGTCAGTAATACAGCTTTCTACTGTATCAACAGTCGGTAATACAGATTCCTACCATCATTTATAAGGAAAATTAAATTTTATCACTCTGTTAATACATTTTACATATATAGTAATTGATTAAACTTGTTTTCTGATATCTATATATAAGTATAATATAGTTATCTATTCAAACTGCTAGGTAAAAAAAAATAATTTCAAAAAGACAATAAATAGAAAAAAAGGAAAAAAAACCAATAAAAAAAAGAAGAATAAAAACTCAGTGAATATCAAGTGGAGGAAGTTTTGAAAATGAGTGTGTAGCGTTTTTTTTTATTTGTTTACTTAGCATGATTCAAACTCTTACTTCTTTTTTCTTTTTCTTCCGTCCATATATACTTCCCTGTAAATTGGAGAAGTGAGAAAAAATTGTTACATACAAATATAGTTTTTTTTTGTAAATAAATAACATTTAAAAGAAAATTTCTAAATTACTATTCTGTTTCTTTTTTTTTGTTTGTGTTTTATTTTTATTTAATTAATATTAGGTAAAGCCTAAAAGTATAGAGAAAGATAAAATACCTTGAAAAGCAATAAAAAAAGAAGGCAAATTTGTTTTTTGTTAGTATAAAAAAAAATTGTAAATTTGCCCTGAGAAAATGAAAGACTAGCGAGAGAGCGTTTTATTTTTTAGACAAAAAAAAAATATTGATTGACACACACACACATACAGACAAATGTAAACAAAAAATTTGATTTAGCGTCGTTTTATTAAAAATGAGATGCGCGCGCAGCGATTAGTAGTGGGGGAGGTGAGTTCCCTCCTCTTTGCTGAGCGCGCATCCATAGTGGCGAGATTGCTGCGCGCGCATCCTTCACAGCGATGAAATGGAAAATTTTTAATAAAGTACGACGCTAATCCAATGATAGCCAATTACAAGTTTCAATCAACGACAATTTTTAGTTAAAATATACAAATAACAGGTTTTTAGAAAAAAAAATACTCTGTTCACTTTTCACACAAGAAGGAAAAATTTACAGGAAATAAAGAATTACTATTAAATATGTCAAAACAGATTTTTAGAGTTAAGAAGAAAAAGCAATGTAGCTTTGAAAGAATAATATATATGTATACAGTAGAAGGCGCCACTTATTGCTTTTATTTAGGCGAAAGAAAAGAAAACTTTTTTTCTTTAAAAAAAAAAAATCAAAACTACCATTTTCGATTTTTGTAGAAAAAATATTTTTTTGTAAAAAAACAAAATTATTATTTTTATACACTGTACAATTATCAAGCATAAAAGATATACAGCAGAGAAGGTGTTTTTTTGCAGACAAAATTTTTATTTATTATTCTTTTTCTAATATTTAACAATAATTAATTGATAAGTAGACTTATACTTTTCTGTGACTATTAAATAATTTTCTTTCTTTTAATAAGTTTGTTAGTTATCTTATTTTTTTCTGTAAAATTAATATTTGAATCAATTGAAAAAATATTTTTTGGAAAAAAATTAATTTGTGTACTTTATTTGTTTTGAAAAGAAAGTTATTGTAGAAATACCATTACAAGCACCCAAAATGAGTTATTGTAGAAATACCTTTACTCATGATAGCATTCTAGAAACAATAAAAAAAGAACAGAAATTAAAAATAATAACCCTTTTTTAATTATTTTTTTAAATTATTAATTACATTTTACCATTCCTTAAAAAAGGTCCTTCTACAATAAACATTTTTTTTAATTTTTTACTTCAACTCATAGATGTAAAATAAAAAGAATATTTTTAATTAATTATAACGTTGACTCTACAATAACAATTTATCATCATCTACTTAAATTAGCATATTCCTTATATAAAAAGGTACTTCTACAATAATCTTCTTTTTATTACGTCTCATTTAAACTAGTCTTATTTCAACTAAACTAAAAGAATACATAATTATGTATTTTTAATTACTTATAAAAAGAGAAAGAGTATATTTTCAGTATTTTACAAAAAGGTACTTCCACAATAAATTTTTTTTTATTTTTTAATTCAACTCGTAGAAGTAGAATAGAAGGAATATATTTTTTATTTTTTACAAAGTTGCTTCTACAATAACAATTTATTATGTTATTTCCGATTTTGACACACAGAAATAGAAAAATTTTTATAAAATGGTACTTTTACAATAATCTTTTTTTCATTATATTTCATTTTAACTAAACTGCCCACATAGCACAATAGTATGAGGTAAGGTTATGTTGAATACTAATCGTAAGGCACATAAGGTTACACGATATTGCTGTGGTAGACCTAAGGTGAACTAAAAACTTCCGCCATGGAGGTGAGGTTACATGTTAGGGTGTGGTGACTATATATGATAAGGCCATGGTAACCTTACACGTTAAGGTTGAGGTAACGTTACATGTTAAGGTTGAGGTAAGGTTACATGTTTAGGTTGAGGTAACGTTACATGTTAAGGTTGAGGTTAGGTTACATGTCAAGGCTGAGGTAAGGTAATTATTAAGTTGTAAGGTTGAGGTAAGGTTGTGATAAGTTTACCAGTTAAAGAAAATATTGAAAAAATAATTAATAAATAAATATTCAATTAAAATGTTAAGTTTGTTGCTCTTCTCTATTTTGGAAACCTGACATGAAGCAGAAAATTTTGAAAACAAATTTAGGGGGACTGGGATTCGAACCCGAGATCGACGCGCATAAACCTATCATTCTAACTAACTGAGCTAAGTAGAGAACTGGCAGAAGGAAAATTAATGTTGCCTTTAAGGTGAACCAAGAAGATGATTAACTCCTTAAAGGCAACATTAATTTTCCTTCTGCCAGTTCTCTACTTAGCTCAGTTAGTTAGAATGATAGGTTTATGCGCGCCGATCCCGGGTTCGAATCCCAGTCCCCCCAAATTTGTTTTCAAAATTTTCTGCTTCATGTCAGGTTTCCAAAATAGAGAAGAGCAACAAACTTAACATTTTAATTGAATATTTATTTATTAATTATTTTTTCAATATTTTCTATAACTGGTAAACTTATCACAACCTTACCTCAACCTTACAACTTAATAATTACCTTACCTCAGCCTTGACATGTAACCTTACCTCAACCTTAACATGTAACGTTACCTCAACCTTAACATGTAACCTTACCTCAACCTTAACATGTAACGTTACCTCAACCTTAACGTGTAAGGTTACCATGGCCTTATCATATATAGTCACCACACCCTAACATGTAACCTTACCTCCATGGCGGAAGTTTTTAGTTCACCTCAGATCTACCACAGCAATATCGTGTAACCTTATGAGCCTTGCGATTAGTACTCAACATAACCTTACCTCATACTATTGTGCTATGTGGGTGAGAGAATATAAAGAAGATTATAATTTTAATTTTTTGTAAAGAAACAAGAAAGAAGAGTATATATTATCAGTTTTTAATAAAAAGGTCCTTCTACAATACTCTTTTTTCATTATATCTCATTTTATCTTAACTGAAAAAATATAGAAAAATGTATTTTTAATTTCTTCTAAAAAAGAAAGTTTATATTTTCAGTTTTTTATAAAAAAAGGTGATACTACAATAAAAATTTATTGTGATTTCTGATTTTGACATATAGAACTAGAAAATTTCTTACATAATGGTACTTCTACAATAATCTTTTCTTTTCATTATATTTAATTTTAACTAAACTCGGAGATTAGAAAAGTATACTTTGCATTTTTTATAAAAAAGAATATATTTTCAGTTTTTATAAAAAGGTTCTTCTACAATACTCTTTTTATTATATTTTATTGTAATTTAACTGAAAGAGTATAGAAGAAAGTATTTTTAATTTCTTAGAAAGAAAGAAAAGAATATATTTTTAGTTTTTTAATAAAAAAAAAGGTGCTTCTACAATAACTTTTTTTTAATTTACCTAATAAAAGTAGAATATTTTGAATTTTTTGCAAAGTTGCTTCTACAATAACAATTTTATTGTCACATTTGATTTTAATTCACGAAACTGAGAAAAAAGGAGGGAGCAATGTTTTTTAATTTCTTATAAAAAATAAGGCTTTTCTACAATAAACTTCTTTTTACGTTTCGTTTTAACTCATGAAACGAATAAAAGAGAATATAACAATAAAGAATATTGAAATAAATAAAGAAATAAATAACAAAATAATTTTTTTTAAAAACTAGAAAATTTTTTATGAAAAGGTACTTTTACAATAAACTTTTTTTTCCTACATAAATAAAATAAGCTGTAAATAATAAAGATTATTGAAATAAATAAAATAAATAACAAAATAATTTCTTTCTAAACTAGAAAGTTTCTTATGAAATGGTACTTCTACAATAAACTTTTTTTCTTACTGAAACAAAATTAGCAGCCCGCGCATCATTTTAATACGGTATTTGACCTTTATTATGATTTAAAGAATGTATTGTAAAATCACCATTAACTGATTGTTGAATGTTAGACACATTTTCCATATACTTATCGAATTATTATTGTTAAACGATTAGAAGAAAGAATTTTTTTTTTGAAAAATATTTAACTTTAAATTTTGAATAAATATTTTAAATATAAAATTAATTTTTTTTTTCATTTGGTGTTTGGGGTAAAAGGGAAATAAACAGGCATAGCACGAATGACAACGCAAACATTCAGCACGCGACATATTTGAACATCAGAAACACAGACAGGAAACAGGAACAGATGCTGGTGGCAGAATATGATTAGAGAAGTTCATCAACGCTACAATAGATACATACATATAGTATATAATATATTTATGCATATATATACATATACAGTATTAATAGAAGTACAAACACATTTTAATGAAGTCTGATATATTAACCGAGACGTATTAATATTTTCAAAATTTAATTACTATCTTTATGCCAAAAAAAGAAAAATATTCATACGTCTCGATATTCATTATCGTTTTTCAAAATTATTCCATCACTATGTATGATTTTTTTATATTCTTTTTTATTTTATTTTTTTTTATAAAACCAAAAAAATTATTTTTTATTTTTATAATAGTTATATTATTATTGAATAATAATGTTTTAAATAAATTATAAATATTGTAAAACGAAAAATATAATTTATAATAATAATTTTAGAAATTGTTTATAATTATTAATTTTATATTATAATAAATTATCAACTAATTGTATAATAATTATTATTATACAAAAACAAAATTATCTAGAAATGACAAATAGACAATTTTTTCACTTTTAGTATTTAAATTTTCGCGCCAAATTCTCATTGGCTACAACAAGTTAAGCCACTCTTTACAATTCTACTGCGCAGAAAATACAATGCGCTTTGGAGCAAACACTCGTTAATGGTCTATTTACAATAAATTGCAATAAAAAATATTTTTAGAATATTTTATAAATATTTAAATATTATATTTTAAAAATATTTAAAAAGTATTTACAAAATAATTTCAAAAGAATATTTTTAGATTATTTTAAAAATATTTAAAAAATATGTTAAAAATTATTAATTGAATATTTTTAGAATATTTTTAAAATATTTAAAAAAATATTTACAAAATTATTAATTGAATATTTTTAAAATATTTTTAAAATAATTGAAGAAAGTGTAAAACTTTTTTTTCTTTTCTGAAAAACGATAGTAGAATAACTTCATAATGTATAAATATATATATTTTTTTTAAAGCAAACACTCAACATAATTATTTTGTCAGCAACGCCTGTAACCTTTTTTTTTGTTTATTTTTCGCCACATTTCGCGCAATTTCACCAATGCAATATTGTTCACAAAAGAAATTAACATTTCCAGCTTTTCTGTTTTTCCTTTGAAAATAAATGTTACCGACTGAGATTTTTGCGCAAATTTTCAAAAAATTTACAAAAGAAAAAGAAATCTAAAAAAATAAACAGTTTTTAATACAAATTTTTGTTCAAATATTATTAAAATAAAAATAGTTATGTACTTCAAAATTATTTAAAATTTCTAATTTAAATTTTATTCACTATTTTTTAAAAATTATTTTCAATTTTATCAAATTTTAAGAAACATAATTTTAAACTTATTTTAAGAAATAATATTATTGAAATTTTAATAAATAATTTATTTGAAAAATAATTTAAGAGACAAAACATAATTTTTATTTTGAAAATCTTACGTTAAATTAAAAAATTTTGTTTTTTATTAGAAATTAAAATGAAAAATTTAAAAAAATGTAATTTTTTATTTAAAAAATAAAAATTCTAACAAATACAAATTTTTATTTTCAATTTACTCTGAAAAAATTCTACTTTGAAAATTAATATATTATTTTCTTTAAAAAAAAAAGGAATTTGATGATGAAGTTTCCTGTAAAGAAGAACGTGATGAATATGTACAAATATATTAAATTGATTGGCTTATTTTTTCTATACGAAACGTAAACAACAATAATAACACAGAATGTGTTGTGTGCAAAATAGCGGATACAATTTTTTTTTCTTTTTTTTTGTTTTGCTTCTTTGTGCGTACACGTAACACAAACGCTATTCGCTATTATTTTACAATCAAAAGAACATGTGATAATATATTTAAATGAATGTTAGACACAAATATGTGAACGGAGAAAAAACATACAAATTTTACAAAAGAAAAAAATATGAATTCACAACTTTTTTTTAATTGTTTTTCAACTTTAATATTTTTAATTTAATTAAAAATTTTTACTGGTATTAGAAAATATTTATTTTAAATTTTATTTGGAATTCTTTTTTTCATATATTCATCATTTTTCAAGTTGTTAAAAAAAATTAAGAAAACAAAAAATGGTCCAAAAAATTTAGAACTTTATTTAATTATTTTGAGTTTAATTTATATTTTCATTTTAAATTTACTTTACGTTTTATGAAATACTTTTTAGAATTTTTTTATTTTCACATTTAATTTGTTTTCTTAATTTTCTTTCTTCTTTTTTTGGGAAAAAATTGAATTGGCTGTAAAATTTTCCAGTGAATTCTTTTTTTCACTTTATTTTAGTTTCAAAGAAATTTTTTTTTTTTTTATTTATTTTTCTTGAAAAAAGCAATTTTGATTGAGAAACGTTCTCGGGAGAAAGGGCAAATTGAAGAAAAAAAAATATAAGAAAGTTTGGTCGCTTACCTCGCCTTCAGCTCTCTTTTTCTCAAGCTCCTTTTGTTTAGCTTCCTGCTCGGAAATACGTTGTTCTATTGCTGCTAAGGATTCCCGCGTGAACGGACGGAACAAACTTCGTTCTTCCTCTGATATAGAGCCAGAAACTTCGGACATTGTCTAGGCTGCACACAACTCAGCCACCTTCCTGAAAATTTTATTTCATTGACAGTTTATTGACGAATTAATAGGAAAAGAAAATTTTTTTGTCCCATTTTTACTGCTCTAATTGTAAAGAGAAAATAGACAAAGGTGTGAAGGCACCTTTATATTAAAGTACTTTGTCTGTTTTAGTAATGTAAGAACAGTGTGAAAGCCCCTTAGAGTACAAGTGACTGTTTGGGAACATTTAAACCCTTTTGTAACAATTTCACAGCTGTGAATACACCTTAATTTCGAGAAAAGCTGTTTCTTTACTTTTTTTTACCCTATAGAAAAGTGTGAAAGCCCCTTAATGTACAAGTAACGGTTTGGAACCTTAAAGCCCTTTTGTAACAATTTTACAGCTGTGAATACACCTTAATTTCGAGGAGAGCTGTTTCTTTACTCTATTTTTACCCTTTAGAAAAGTGTGCAAGCCCCCTAAAGTACAAAAAAGTGTTTTCCACTTTTACTCCCGTTTGTACCCATTTAAAGTGTGTGAATGCACCTTAATTACTTGAAAATTTGCTTCATTAACTATTTTTGTAACCACTATGACATTTTAAACGCTCTTTAAAATCAAACCAGTTGATTGTCTCCATTAATCGTCTTTGTAACAACTACAATTGTGTGAATACACCTTAATTACTAGAAGACTGTTTTTTGTAAACTTTGCAAAAGTGTAAAAGCCCTTTAGAATGTAAGTGTTTGTTACTCCGTTTTAAAATTAATAAAATTGTGTGAATGCACCTTAATTGCTAGAGAATTGTCTTTCTCTCCTTTCTGTTATAATAACAAGTGTGTGAATACCCCCTAATTACAAAAACATTGCTTCTTTAATAATTGTCACTAACTAGAATAAATGTGTGAAAGCACCCTAAAGTGCTTAACATTTTTTAAAATTTTTGGCACTAACCAGGACTTATGTGTGAATGCACCTTAAAATGAAATGAACCGAGTGCCTGTCTCTCTCACTCTTCATCGTTACCATAGCAACCAGAATGCAAACACAACTGTAAACGTACCCTAAGGTCAAAACCATCGTCTATCCCTCTTTTTCTCACTACTATCTGTCCTTTTCTACTTCATGCATACCATACAGTAAAATAAAAGAAAAGTACCAAAAAAAAATAATAATAATAATAATAATAATAATGACATAATTACCTTGCTATTGGTGCTAACAATTTCTATAATGACGACTGTGTTCGTATTGTGGGGAATAGTTCAGTTGCTGTTGCCGATAGCGAAATTGGGAATGAGATCTAGAATTGCTTTTTGAAAGCTGCCTTGTTGTCGATTTAAAATGCGTGATTGTGTGTAGAGACGACGTTCTGAGTGGTCGGACGGATAAATGTGGTTGTCGCACCACGTTACTCCACGATTTCCACTTTTGATAATTTTTTCTCTCCTTCGAACTCCACTTTCTCTTTATCGTTTGTATATCTAAATCGTTCTTTGACAAAATGGCGGCGACCAATAACGAACGCGCTGCGGCAGTGCGTGGTACAGTGGGGCCTGTCCAACTCGAACCAAGATTTCTCATGTCCGACCTAAAATTATTTTTTGTTTACAAAAAGAGCAAAAAAAAATTACAGTAAATCACTTTTTTGAAATAATATAATAAAATGTTATTTAAAAAAAAATTAAAAATCTTTCAGAACATTTTTTTGAACTTCTTTGCAAAGAAATCCACCCACTATTATTAAGGCCCCGCCTTCCTTATGAAGAACTCCACCCATTGCTATTAGGACCACGCCTTCCTTGTGAAGAACTCCTCCTACTATAACTAAGGTTCAACCTTGTTTACAGAGAACTCCGCCCACTAAGCACCGCCTTCCTTCCGAAAAAGTCTACCCATTGTTACTAAGCTCTGCATTTCTGAAGAATTTCACCGATTAATACTAACACCCCGCCTTCATTCCGAAGAACTCCGCCCATTGTTATTAAGGCCACGCCTCTTTTTGAAGAACTTTAACTACTAATACTAAGACTCCGCCTTTATTTAGATAAACTCCACCCATTGCTACTAAGACCACGCCTTCTTTGTGACGAATTTTACACATAAATACGAAGACCTCGCCTTTCTCTACAACTCCACCCACTGTTATTAAGACCACGCCTTCCTTACAAAGAAATCCACCCACTATTATTAAGTCCCCGCCTTTCTTTCAAAGAACTCAACCCATTGTTACTAAGACCACGCCTTCTTTGTGAAGATCTTGAACCATTAATTGTAAGTCTCTGCCTTTCTTGAAATGAACTCCGCCTACTATCACTAAAGCCCAACCTTCTTTACACAGAACTCCGCCCACTTTTACTAAATCCCAGCCTTCCTTACGAAGAGCCCCACCCATTATTACGAAGACCACACCTTCTTTATGAAGAAATCGCCCATTATTACTTATACCACGCCTCACAAAGAAATTGACCCTCTACTACTAAGAGATTAGGGGTCGTCCATAAAGCATGTGATACATATTTTCGGTAATCTAGACCCCCTCCCCCCTCATGATGCTTTTTCCATTAACAGTTAACATGGTGTGTGATATTTTGCTGACCTCCCCCCACCCCCTAAAGTATCACATGCTTTATAGATGACCCCTTAGTAAGGCCTATGGTACAAAAGCTGGGGCCTTGGTAACAATGGGCATAATTCTTTGTAAAGAAGGCGGAGCCTTAGTAAAAGTGAGTGGAGTTTCTCGAAAAAAAAGGCGGGATCTTAGTATTAATTAATTAAGTTCTTCAGAAAGGCGGATCTTAGTAATAATCGGTGAACTTCTTCAGAAGGAAGGCGGGGCCTTAGTAACAGTAGGTGGAGTTATTCGTAAAGAAGGCGTGGTCTACGTAATAATGGGCAGAGTTTTTCGAAAAGAAGGCGTGGTTTACTTAACAATGGGTGGAGTTCTTTAAAAGAAAGGCGGGCTCTTAGTGTTAATGAGTGAAGTTCTTCGCAAAAAAGGCGTGATCTTAGTAACAATGGGTTTACTTCTTCGAAAGGAAGGCGGGGCCTTAGTAACAATAGGTGGAGTTATTAACAAAGAAGGCGGGGCTTAAAATTAATGGGTGGTGTTCTTTGAAAGTAAGGCGGGGCCTGAATGACAATAGGTGGAGCTCTTCGCAAGGAAGCCGGGGCCTTAGTAACAGTGGGTAGAGTTATTCGTAAGAAAGGTGTTGTCTACTTAACAATGGGTTGGAGTTTTTCGAAAGGAAGGCGTGGTCTACTCCTTCGAAAGGAAGGCGGAGCCTTAATAACAATGGGTGGAGTTCTTAACAAAGAAGGCAGGGCTTAGTATTAATGGGTGGTATTCTTCGAAATTAAGGCGGGGCCTTAGTAACAATGGGTGGAGCTCTTCTAAAAAAGGCGTGGATTTAGTACTAGTGGGCGGAGTTATCTGTAAAAAAGGGTCGTAATAGAATCGAGGGTGGGGACAGGAACGCCTACTTTACCAACCCTACACTTATTGCTCCGCCCACTTCAAAAAAGGCCCCGCCCCTTTTTAACTACTAAAACCATAAAATCTATTCTGAAAAGCCTATTTTGTTACAAAAAATTGCTTTACCAAACTAAATAGAATTTCAAAATACTTTAAACTCAAAAACGACAAATGAGAATCAAAGAGGGAAAATTTTTCAATATAAATTTTCTCTCATGCGTTTACTGGCAAAAGTTGCCTAGCTGATTTAACTTAAACCAAAAGTTTGATGAACTTTTGCTTGAAAACTTGTTTTCAAAATGTTTCAAAATATTTCGAAGAAACTTATGAAACAATATGGAAGCATTTCAGACTAAAGAAAAGTTGATTACAAACTGAAAGTTCTAACCGATTTCTATTCTAGAATGTTCTGATGAGATTTTCTGCTTTTTTCAATAAAATTATTTTTTAATTCTAAATAAAAAATTATAAAAATAATTAATTTTCTACTTACGTATACATGAAGCGGCGGGTGTAATCAATTTGTTATCCGAATTATCATAGTCTGCTCCACGTTTCAGTCTGTATCTGCAAGCACAAAAAGAAAAAAAAAACCAATAAGAAAAAGTTCAATATTTTTCTTTGTAAAGAAAATAGAAATAATTTTTTTCGTTGTAAATTTTTTTATATTGGAAATAATTCATAATTTGTTTTTCCATTACCCCTAAAGACTATATATATATATATATATATATATATATATATATATATATATATATATATACTGATATAGAGAAGAATTTCATTATTTTATGTGAGTATTTTTCTGCGACGTCATTGAATGAGATAACAAAGTGTTTAAACACGTGACGAGGCTTTAGTGGGTAGGTGCGGCAGAGTAAAAAAAAGAAGACGAAGGGAGAGAAAAAAAACCCCCCTCAGGGCAGATATGTGACTTCACTTATAAGTGTTAAACGAGCCAACACAATTTTTCAAGGGTTGCCAATTACATTTGCTCGCATTTGCTCAAGTAAAAGTCACTAAACGAATAACAAGACTCTTAATTTTGAAAAATTCCTGGGCAAAGAAAAAAAAACGATAGCAGAAGCAGGGAATTAATTACTAGGTAATTGAATTTTAACGAAGGTATTCGTGAACAATATGAACTTTTTTTGGTTCAATTATATAAATTTGCATTTCTAAGGAATTGAATTTAAAGAAGTGCGAGAATTTTCTCAAACTTTTAAACAGTTTAGTACTGAGTCTCGAATTCAGAGTTTTAAACAATCGGGGATCATGTGAACTCATACTAAAATAAACAAAATTATTTACTTTGTGTGAATTTTTGTGATTCAATATCTTTTTAAATTCTTGAAAATAAAGAAATTTTTGGGGTGATATGAGATGTGAAAGTGAATTATTAGATTCAAAAAGTTAATCTTTTCAATATTCAAAAATGAAATTTGCTCGCTAAGTAATTTTTAAAAGCTTTAGTAATCATTGCAGAAGAAATAAATTTTCTGTGTAGTAATAAGAGGGATATCGTCTCAGTTGTGTTATCAATTAAAGAAAAAAGAAAAACTCTTCAGCCATCATATTATTGACATCATTTATCACAATGAATCAATGGTTACAATGAAAATGGGATTTGTCTCATAAAAGAAACAAATTTTTTTTCACTTCTTTTTTCTCTCCTCTTTCTCTCTTCAAGGAAAAAAATGGAAATACAATTTAAATTTAATGAACTACTTAAAAGACTTTCCGGGAAAATGACAATAGAAATTTCTCTGAAATTCCGATATTGATTTTTCTTTCGATAGATTTTCATATGGAATGAAAAATTAAAATTAAAATTCCGATACAATTCCGATTAAAAAAGAAGAATAAAAAATTTTTGCATATTCCGATCAAAATTGGAAAAGGATTAAAAATTCCGATGTAATTCTGATCAAAATCGAATAATAATTGAGAATTCCGATACGATTCCAATCAAAAAAGGAGAAAAATTGAAAATTTTTGTATATTCCGATCAAAACTGAAAAGGGATAGAAAATTCCGATACCATTCTCATCACAATCGAATAATAATTGAAAATTCCGATACAATTCCGATTGAAATTGGTAGCAAATTAAAAATTTCAATACGATTTTCATCAAGATTGAAAGGCAATTGAAAGTTCTGATAATATTCCGATTAAAATTTGGTAATGATTTGAAAATTCCGATCAAAATTGGATGAAAATTGAAAATTCCGATTCAATTTTAATCAAGATCGGAAAGACAATGAAAATTTAGATAATTTTCTGATTGAAATGGGAAAAAAAAAGTTTCCGATATTAAATTCCATCGAATTTCCCTCTTAATTTTGCTTATTAACTAGAGTTCCAAATTCAATAACTTTATTTATAGTTTTAATCGAAAATTCACCAAAATGTTATTGGAATTCCATTTGCAAATAAATTCTTCAAATTCAAGCAATTAATCAAAAGAGAATTGTCATCCTTATTTCAAAATTTAATTATATAACAATTTTGAAAGCAAAAATAACGACTATAATTTAAATGCAAACTCGAATATATACACAACGTTGTCAAATTAAATTTCATTCACAATGAAGAACTTTACCATTCTTCAACGCCCCTTGTGAATGCAATATTCAATGGAGTTCTTAGAGTTAAGGGATTATGGAATGACTTTTGTCCCTAACACTCCTTCATAATACACAAACATATATATCCACTCAACACTAATGATGTCAAAATAGGGGTGAAAATAAAAGTTTTTATATTAATCGGAAAAAAGAAACATTGTATACAATTGTAAATAATTTCCTTGCGAAAGGAACTTTTTACTTTTTTTTCAAATAACAATTTTTCGTAATAACAAAAAAAATAAAGTAATAATAAAACTTTTTACGGTCTTGAAATTTTCACTCTCTCTCTCTCTCTGTCTCTCCCTTTTTTTTGTCTTTGACGCGTCACCCCTTCGAAGCCAAAAAAAAATTAATCTTTCCCCTTAAAGTAGATGTCCTAAGAGATTTAATGGATTTCAATTCAAACTCGGAAAGTCTAATGCAACTGGGACATGAGAACGATACGACCCAGGACATCATTCACTTCACGCGGTATTTTCCAATCAATAAACTACGACTGGCAACGAGAATCGAGTGGGAAACATTTTTTCCACATTTACAGTTGTAGGAAATTTTTCTTTTTATTTGCAGATTATGCAAATTTTCCTAATCTGCATTTTTTGTAATTTGCAATCTTTTTGCAATTTGCAATTTAGAATTTGAAAAGAATTTTTAATTCGTATTTACTAGTTTTCTTTTTCTAATAATTTTTTCCCGTCTAAATTCAAAAGAATTTCGATTTTTAAAGTGGAAAGTAATCACCACTTTTTTTTGTTGCTATATTTGACGTTGTTTTCCTCTTAATGTTGAATTCTTGTTTTAAATTATCGTGTTCACTGTAAAGATTTTCAGGTTACGTCAACGGATTACTGAAGCTTTGACAAAAGTAGATTCTATCGCGTCAGTAATGTGGGAACCTAAACTTAAAGTCTATTGTGGACTAAATTTTAGCTGGGGTAGCCACCGTTGGGTGGCTTACCAGGTTTTTACAATTAGACTCTCAGACTTTTGATTTTCGAATATAGTGCCAATTTTTAGGTTACGCTTTTTAGAAGAGTTCCTATTTATGAACTTTAGGAAACACTATCCGAGTGCTGGTTTCAAAAGAAGGAAATTGGGTTTCTCTTACAGTTTGCGAACTTATGATCAACTTCTCTGAACTTGTAGGAACGTGGTTATAATTATAACTAAGGTGTTTGGCCTTCCTCCGTAGAAGGAATTGGGTAAAGTAGTGAAGTTACCAAAGGTTGCTTGTTTCGGTGACTCTTTGGTGATTTAATATCGTTTTTGTCCTACCTGCACGAAAAGTATGTCATTTCGGGCACTTAAAGTGGGTGCAAAGTAACTGATTCTCGCCCGGGGCCGGGGAAGCGGGCGCAAAAGTTCTTTTACGCCCGCTTCGTTCGTGCCCTCGATGCCATACTTTTCATGCAGTTAGGACAAAAAATTATGTTCGCAACATGGGCGCAAAGGTGATTACGACTTTGGCGAGATTTCGGGACCTCGGGAACACTTTCGCACCCTCGGCTTCGCCTCGGGCGCGAAAATGTCCCCTCGGTCCCTTCATCTCGCCATCGCCGCAATCACCTATTTTGCGCCCTTGATACGATAATAACTATTCAGTACCGTTAGAACTACTACTACTGCCAAAGACAACTATAGACTGCATGAGATCCCTAAGTGTCAAACAAGGATCCTTAACTGACTACCAACGATCTGACGGCTAATGTAAATGTAAACTTTACTCCAGAAAATACTCCTAAAATTTTGGGGGTCCTTTCGAATTACTCCAGACTTTCAGCTTCTTCTTGGTCGGTGATTACAACTGCGGGCTTCATATCTGGTGTTTGGGTCTTAGGACTATAGTTGTAATGCTTCCTGACTTACCTCTTCAACCTGGGTAAAAAGATCCAAGTCGCGGATTTTAAATGTCATCCATTTGAAAAAACTTGCTGAACCTCTTCTGCATAGGTAAGGCGATCCAAGTCGCGGATTTCAAATGCCATCCATTTGCCAAGTGTGATCCTTAATTCCACATTTTACCCTTGCTTCCTACCATCTTGGTAACTTTAGCAGTAAAAATATTTTTGATAACTAAGTAGGTTGCTCTCCCTTTCTCTGAATTTATAGAATCCATTTATTCTTGCTGTTTAAATGTTTATTAATGTCTCCATCACGACAAGGTCTAGCAAGAATTATCATGATTCTTAGTAGTGGGCATCCATTGACAAGGTTTTTTTAATAACCTTAGTCATCTTTTTGATAAACTAGTTTTTTTCTGCAGAACCTCTAATTCTAATAAGGTTGTGAACATCCATTGATGGGTTTTTCCAAAAACCTTCGTTACCTTTTTGCTAAACTTGTTCATGTCTAAAGAACCTGCAAATCTAATAGGGTCTAATGATTCCTGGTACTGGTCGTCTATTGACGGATTTTTCCAAAAACCTTCTTTAACTTTTGGTTAAACTTTTTAATGTCTGAAGAACCTAATGGGGTCTAATGATTCCTGGTAGTGGTCGTCTATTGACGGTTTTTCCAAAAACCATCTTTACCTGTTGGTTAAAGTTTTTAATGTTTGAAGAACCTCTAATTCTAATAGAGTCTTATGATTCCTGGTAGTGGTCGTCTATTGACGGGTTTTTCCAAAAACCTTCGTTACCTTCTTACTAAACTTGTCCATATCTGAAGAACCTGCAAATATAATGTAGTCTAATAATTCCTGGTAGTGGTCGTCAATTGACGGGATTTTCCAAAAACCTTCGATACCTTCTGGATGTTTACCCAGATTGTTTATCCATTGTTAATGTCTGAAGAACCTCCAATTCTAATAGGGTCTAATGATTCCTGGTTGTGGTCGTCTACAGATGGTTTCTTTCAAAAACCTCCGTCACCTACTTGCTAAATTTGTTCATGTCTGAAGAACCTCCAGTTCTAATAAGGTCTCCTTTTCTAAGGAG